TGACGAAGCCTGGGTTGAAGTTGAAGTTTGGGAGCCATTTTACTCTAGACTCGCGGGGGAAGTTTGGCGGCCCAATGATGAAGGTGCCTCCGTGCTTCCCCTAAAGCGGATCCTTTGGCCAGCTATTTACTGCTTCAGAAGGACGAAATCAGCATCTTCAGAGTTCTATGGTGAAATGGAAGGTGTCTCATCTATTGCTGGTGATCCTCTAGATTTCGCAGAGAAATGGCGTGTAACAGAGAAACTTAGCTTTGCCGAGGCGAGCCCTAAGCCTCCGTCTGTCCATCAAGAACCGCCAACTAGGGATCAGGACGCATCATCACCCGATCTACTTAACCTGCCCGAAGGGATCGAAAGCCTTTCTCGAGCGTCGCAGTATCCTGATCTTCAAACCGCTAGTCTTGTATACCCAACGCCACCTGATGGGGCCACCGCAACAGGACTGAATCCCATGGTCACGTCCGATACCTTCGCGGAAGAAATCGAACAGAACTCGAATTTTATGCAACAGGATAGGCAGAATCATCATCGTCAACTCAGTAAAGAGCGAATAGGAACGGATGTTATAAGTTTTGGCCCGTCGGCAGGGCTTGTGGTTGGTTCGGGCCTATACGATACGAACGACGACGATGATCTGTTCGGAGAAATTAATGAAAAAGACTTTGGGGCTAAAGGAATAACCGATGCTGATTTCAGTTTCTTTGACGACCCAGACTTCGACCGTGGAGGTGTTGGTGAGCAGGCTGAGCCAGTCCAAGAATTGTCCGGGTTCATGGATACAGATGAGCCCGAGATCCAACCAACTGTGGACAGCCAGGCTTCACCTGAGCACACACCAGCCATGAATATCGCAAGTGCTCAATTGAGTCCTGTGGTCGAAACAGCAGACCTGCAGCACGAAAAGACGCCCCAGGAGGCCAAGGCACCTGTATTCACGCCTCAGGAGGACAAGCCACGAACAATAAGTCCTCCGTTGAGCCCAGTGGAGGTCAAGAAGATTCTCTTCCCGGAATCAGTACCTGAAAGCCCACGTCTTGCCAAGAAAGGGCAGGGGCCAGGTTACTACAGTGCAGTTGCTTTCAAGCAAAACATGTCCCTCTGGGACCAGAAATACGGCGCAGATGGGAAGTTTGGGTTCAATATTCGCGGGATTGAAAGAAAGAAGGGGCCAGATACCGTCACAAGCGATATCCCAACTGTTGGGCTTCCACGCCACAGCGGAAAGGTGAAAAGCGGCACGTCAAAGGATCCAGACAGTTACGGATCTCCCTATAGTGAGGAGATGCAAGATTCATCGTCGGATTCAGACATGAGCAGCAGTGCAAGCGCCGACAGTGATGAGAGTGCCTCTGAAAGTGGCCTCTCACCTGCCACGTTTTCCACCAGAAAAAGGAAACGTACTCGCTCCAATTCGGGAACTTCGTTGGCTTTGTCCCAGGATAAGACAATTATTCGGACTGACCAGGAAACGTCGGCCCAGAGACCGGAGGACTCGGTTTTTCTAGGAAATTTTCTGTCTACCTTTTCTGACTGGTCAATGGCGGGCTATTTTTCCGTGGCACAGAACCAGGTCTCGCCACTGCTTATTCGCAAGGACATACAGGTTCAAATTGCCCAGTTACTGGTTGACCAAGTGACGCAATCATCCCTACACCATAGAATAGATGGAACCCTAGGTCTGCTTGATTATGCTGATCAGGGGTGCTCTCCCGAGACTTTCCGAGGTGATGCAGCCTTTATGAGTGGAATGGAGCGACTGGACCTGAACAGTTTTGTTTCGCTGCAAGATTCCAATGCGCTTTCGCCTTCGTCATCCAACGGTTCCAACTCGCGTCAGTCCGCTCAACGTAGAGAGACTGGAAAGGGCACCATAGTCAAAATACCTCCGCCGCACTTGCGCGTGCGCCGGGGGAAAGATTTCTTGGAGACACTACCTCCGGCGATATCCTTTTGGGAAACTTTCGGGTTGGAGCCTGCGCATGGGCAAAAGGACATTCTCGCCTATTGTATCCATCCTCATTTTGCTGCTGGAGCAGCCGACACATTCTTAGAGCGGCTTGGGCTGGTCTACTCAGGCTGCAATCTTGGCGAGCATTGTCGAGGCGAAAGTTCCAATGTCTTCGACCGTGGACTGGGCTCCTGGAACACCAGTCCATCGGCAGACTCACGTTATTCCGAGGCCATACAGTCACTCAAGTCTATTTGTGGAGTGCTTGGTAAGTCATATCCGATGGTGTTCAATCTGGTTACTAACGTAGATAGGATCTGCGTTTTTGAGTACTCCGCCAAGCAAGGATAGCAACATTGTAGTTTACATAGTGAATCCTTTTACTCACGCCGCAGCATTGGTGGATATCTGCGCTGCATTCTGGTCTCTTTTCCAGCAATACGTCGCGGAAGCTGACAAGCAACAGACACGACAGCTGAATGAGCTTGTTCTTCAGATAATTCCCCTGGATTTTGTCACTTCGGCTGAATCTCTCGTTGTTCCTCCCCAGGCAGAATATCTGAACCTGGCCCTTGAGGTGTACAGTCGATGTCCGCCTAAGTCGTCTGAGGTGGGCCCGGTGAATTGCGCACCGCCGGTGTTGCTTGCAGAGCCTATTCCTAGATCTATTGGCTTCAAGCTGTCATCGGAGGGCTCGTCGCCCCTCCAGGAAGGCAAGCATCTTCATATTGCTTGTTCCCGAAGTCTGGATCAACGTTGGTTAAGTGTGGCTTGGTCTGATAATTTTGGGGCACTTCAGCGGAACATGTCTTATTGCCTTCGCTATCGTAATTCTGTTGCAGCTCGACCTCTCCCGGAGGTACGGGGTGAAATCTGGAAGGCAACAAGGGATATCATGGATACGATTCAGACACGATGGAAGATCATCATTGTCAGCACTGACCCTGTGGACCAGGATGAGGTTGACAGTAAGTGCACGCCCCATCTTTTGTTGGTTCGAGGCTAACAGATGAAAAGCGTGGACAAACTTTGCCGATCAGTACGGCAAGGCCAGGTCCACAACGCTGGATCTCGCGATCTTGGGCGCGAACATTCCTTCTGACCTGCATCTTGAGCCGCCTTATCTTCCCATTCCCTTGAGCATGTTCAATCAACAGCCGTCTTCTACACCTGTTGCCACACCGAACCTCGGCGGCGGTGTTTCTTCTCCGGACCAATTCGGTACGGCGCCCACACCCCCGGGTGGCTGGGGTGGACCCGCAAGTGCATCCACTCCAACGGATGCGCTCCCGGAAGTTGAATCCGAGTCCCTCCTTACGGATATCTACGATGAGACATGGGGTGTGGTGTTGTCGCATCGTCTCAACAGCTCCCCGCATCAGACGGAGTATCGCCCTGCACTGGCAAGCGGGTACCTTCTTCGCAGGAAGGGCTCTACTGATGGAGATGGCCTGTATACTATGAGTGTCAATATACTCTTCGCACGGCGTTCCCCGTCCTCCTATGATGCTCTCCTACGGGAGATTCTGGGTATGTATCGCGATTTGGCAACTCTGGCAAGGGCCAGGGGGACGCGCACTGTGCAGCAGGGCACATTACCGTGGCATGTGGCCACGGCAATCAATGCCCAAAGTCTTCTCAGCTATGCATTGTGATCTTTTTTTCTTTATTGTTGGCATTATACCATGTTTGCGGGTCGAGCGATCATGTGGCGTTTAGGGGAACACGGCTGGCTTCTTACTTCATGTGTTCTGCCCGACTTCTCTTCACTTTTGTATATAGTTTGTTTTTTTCAGGCAGAATAGGTTATACCACTATGTAGGTTTGTTTTGGATTTGGACTGGGCGGAACTGTTGAGTATGGGTTTGGAATAGAGGCCAGGGCATGCATCTTTTATTGTGGTGGCGATATCTAGCAATGTAATACCACATGGCAAAACGCTATAATTTTGGGATTGATTGATGTTGTGTCAATTCATCTGTACGATCTCTCAGGTTTTGCGATTGTTGCATCCTGAATAGCCCCCCATCCCAAGTATATATTTTACGGTTGGGGGTACAGGTGTGATCATGATAATCGCACATTCAATCTAGGTCATGCCATTGAACCGAGCACATGCGTGCATACTACCAACATGATAGTAATCGATGGCACGCACATGCAAATCTAAATAGCCTAATAACCCATATGTTCAATACTAGGCTATCAGAGTTCCTATTCATTGTGAACGTAAACCCTGACATGTGGGTCTAGTATAGTCTTACAGAACCAGACCCATTCAGACATATGGATGTGTATGAAGATGATGCATTAGTTGTTGCTAGAGTGCTATATAATTGCCTCCACAATATTCAACAATAACATACAATACTATGCGTCTTCAAACATTTAGTCCTTTATCGAGCCCATTGTACAATGCTCTTGGAATGTCATTCAAGGAATATATAGGCAAATATAATCATCGTTTTCAACAAGAATCCGATATGGTGTAGTGGCTAACATCGCCGTCTCTCACACGGCAGCCGGGGGTTCGATTCCCCCTATCGGAGCTCAATCATTTCTTTTTTGTTTTTACCCCTTCTTTCCCGTGTATACCAATTCATTGCCCACCTCATATCAGCCAACCACGGGCACCAGAAAGGACCAATATTCTATCCCATGTCTGTCATGTCCTCAATATCACCATTGACATTCCCGACCCACGTATGACTAACCTGCAAGGTCCCCAACGACCAAGTACCTTGCAATCCAACAATCCAACTTCCCGCATAGCAATCACATGACCTCTTATCTATCTAATCAACTCCCCGATAACCACCCAAACTGTAAATCCCATCCATATCAAAAAAAATTTCAGGACGCAGACCAGCACCACCATCATTTTCCCTGTCCACAAATATACAAATAACCCTACTTCACATATAAACTCCACAAGGAAATACTCTTAATCAAATCTGTACCCACGCACTCCACCAATTCCTCCCAACACCCCTCAAAAACCAACTACAACCAAAACACCACCCACCTCCGACCCCGCCTTCCGCACGCAAAAATGACCACTCAACCCCCCCAGACAGCAACCCAGTACCTCGACCTCGGCATAACCCTCGCGATCAACGCCTGGCCGGCCTTAACCCTTGCTGTGCAATCCAACTGGGGCGGCCCAACCTCCTCCGACAAGCGCGACTGGCTCTGCGGCGCCATCTCCGAAATGATACAGGAGCGTCCAGAGACCGACGCCGAGGATCTCGAGGATGTGCTTATCCAAGTGATGAATGATGAGTTTGACGTCGTGGTGGATGATGAGAGCGCGGGCATGGTTGCCGTGCAGATTATGGAGATGAAGGGGCAGACGGAGAAGGGAGAGTTCGGGGCGATTCAGGAGATGTGGGAGAAGTGGCAGAGTAAGAAGGGGGCTTCGGAAATCGCGGGGTTCCAGAGAGGTGAGGATCAGGATGATGACGACGATGATAGCGAGGATGAGGACGGGGATATGGAGATGGATGATGCGCCTGCGCCGGCGTTGGTGAGGGCGCCGAGGGAGAAGGTTGAGCCCGAGGTTGATGAGGATGGGTTTACGACTGTTGTTTCGAAGAAGAGGAGGTAATCTTCTTTCCTTTCTAAGGTATTGATTGTTTTGTTTGGTATTGTTAAAAGTTGTTTGTTGGTGCTGGTGCTGGTTGATTCCCCATAGAATAGACGCCTTGTTCATGTATTCTGGCTGTTTGCCTATGCTACAGCTGTGTGATTCATGCGCGCAGTGAATCCCTTTGACTATCCAAATACTGAAAGATAGTAGAATGCGTGAGATGACAGCAATGAAAATTTTATTGCGAAACCAACAAGCAAGGGAATGCAAAATCTATAGGAAAGGAGCAAAATAGAATAAAACGGAACATCAAGATTCATCATCATCAGCAACAACCAAACCAGGCTGCTATTGGGATATCATCACCGAGCCTTTTCCCGCCCATTCTTCCCGGTCGACAGTCGTAGCTCGTTAGATCTCGCCACCGACCACCGTAGGGACTGCTATTTATAATGAAAAGACATTCACACTTTACGCCTGCGCCTGCGCCACCTCTTCGGCAGAGATGAGCTTGGTAATCATACCAATGGCAACGGTTTGACCCTGGTTTTGTGTATGTTAGCATTGTTCAATAATGGCACTTTGGAAATGACTGCTTACCTGATCACGCAGAGTAAACCGACCCATCTGGTTGTAGTCCTCAAAGCGCTCGACACAAACGGCACCAGCAGTGCTCGTCACCTCGAGACGAGCGATGATGGTCTGACCCTTGCTAGCGAAAGGAGGGGGGCGCTTGCTCCGACGTCCAGTGCCGGGCTCGCACTTGTGCAGAAGTGCTGCAACAGTAACTTCTTCGACAGCAGAGTGCACGTGCATCACGCAGTTGTAACCAGCCGTGAGAATGCTCTTCAGGTCAAGAATCCTGATCTTGGCCTCGAAAGTCTTGACACAGTTCACCAGACGCTTGGGGGAGCAGAGCACGAATCCGGGCAAGATATCTTCTTCTTCCACACCACGGAGACGAAGACGGACCTGGTCACCGCAGGTAGCGGTGGGGATTTCGTCTTCAGTCTCACCATAGAGAGCGGCAATTTCGACCTTGGTGCGGTTGGGCATCATGATGCAGCTGCCGTTCTTCTTAAGCACACCAGACTCAATGCGACCCTCGACCATGGTACCCATGTCACGGTACTTGGCACTGATGGGCATCATGAAAGGTGCGTTGATCTTACGCTCGGGCACCTTCATCTCCGACAGGAACTCCAAAAGGGAGGGACCGCCATACCAGGGAGCAAGGTCCGTGGGGACGCGGTCCTTGATACCCGTGGTCCTCTGGGCAGAGATGGGCATGAAGAAGAGATCGCTCTTCTTGTAACCGAGGTTCTCCAAGTACTTGCCCACCTTGACGGTACACTCGTCGAAACGAGCCTTGCTCCACTCAACGGTAGGGTCGTCCATCTTGTTGACAGCGACGATAAGGGTCTTCACACCGGTGTTTCTTGCAAGCAGGGCGTGCTCACGAGTCTGACCACCCTTCTCGAAACCGGTTTCGTATTCACCCTTACGCGCGGAGATGACAAGGACACCAACATCGGCCTGGGAAGCACCACCGATCATGTGGTGAACATAAGACTTGTGACCAGGAGCATCCAGGATGGAGAAATGTCTCGTGATGGTGCTGCCGTCGGCTCCCTTGACGGGGAGCTGGAAGTGAGCACGACCAACCTCAACAGTCTTACCCTTGGCACGTTCCTCGTTGGTCAAATCCAAGGCCCAAGAGAGGTACCAGGTCTCACGACCAGCCTCCTTGGCATCTCTCTTGTACTTCTCCAAAGTACGCTCGTCCACCATGCCGGTCACGTAAAGGATGGATCCACCCAAAGTAGACTTTCCGGCATCGACGTGACCGATGAAGACAATGTTGACGTGCTCCTTCTTCTCACCGTAGATTTCCTTCAAAGTAGCCTCATCGACATCGGCTTGTTGCTCCATGGCGACGGCGTCGGCGTTACGAGCAGCCTTGGCAGCCTCGCCGCGAGCAGGGCTGGATCTTCCGGGGCTGGAGCGACCCGAGGGGGTAGGGGACGACTTGCCGCTGGCGGCAGCCTTCGCGTCGGCCTTCTTCTCAGTCTTCTCGATGGCCTTGGAAGCCGTCACCTTAGCGGCCGCCTCAACAGCGGCAGCACCCTTGGTATCTCCAGGCGTAGCGGCACCGGAGGTCGAAGAAGGCGTGCTCGAGGTGGGAGCGGGGGAGGGGGTGCCGATGGAAAGAACCTTGGTCTTGGGAGCGGCGGGGGAGTTGCTGGCGCCGCCAATAGACAGGACCTTGGCCTTGGGGGGAGCAGCGTTGCTTGCGGCAGGCTTCGGGGCGGGCTGAGCGGGCTGGGCGGCAGCGGGGGCGGCAGCTTGACGGGGCTGCTGTTGCTGCTGCTGGTAACCACCGTATTGCTGGTTGTAGATCTGGTTGTTGTTAAAGCCACCAGGTTGCTGAGCGTAGGCGCCGTATTGGGCATAGGCCTGCTGCTGCTGGTCATAAGGGTATCCACCGTAAGCCTGCTGGCCGTACTGGCCATATTGCGGGAAACCGCCGCCGTAGGGCTGGTAGGCCTGTCCAGGGACGAAGGAAGCAGCGCCGGGGGTGAAAGTGGCAGCACCAGGGTGGAAAGAAGGAGCCTGAGGCTGAGGGCGGCCTTGTGCGTTGGGGTTCAGACGGACGCCCTCAGTCTGTCTGGAGAGCTCATCCTCCCAGGAATCGGGGGTCTGGTCGGCCATGGTGTATGTGGGGAAGACGCTAAGAGAACGACAACAAGACAAACACCAAGCAAAGTCCCTGGTATATAGAAAAGGGACTGGTCTAAAAGAAGAATAAGGAGAAGGTGGGGGGGAGGGAGGTAGAAGAAGAAGAAGAGGAAGCGAACAATGAAAGGCAGAGCAACGCAGCGGCAAGTGAGGGGCGTTTTTCTTTGCGGAGGCTCATTTTCTCTTGTCCGCCTTTGAGTTGAATTTGCACCCGCTGACTCAGCTGCGCCTCCCCACCCCCGCGGCTGTGGCGTCTGGCGCGTCAGAAAAGACCAGCACGTGTTGAGTTTTGCATTGTTTGTCTCGTGCTGTCCCTCCGCTGCGAAGAATGACTCCAACAATGACCTCGCGGGTCTTGAACGGGTCGTGTTTGTGAGAGGAGTGTGGAAGGTCTGTTCAATTCCGCCCTTTTCTATCTATATGTTGGAATCCCCGTTGCTGGTGGCAGCCACAGTGGGTGGCCCGTTATCGATAAGCTCTGCAAACCGCCTCAGGGGCGCTACAGATCACTACTATTACTAGATCCCACCAGCAGTCAACAATCCCCATCCTGCTGGGTACACTTCCCTCGGCAGATTCACCCAAGAGAGAAAGAGTGAGGGAAGCCTGACTTTTGAGCACAATGGATGCTTTTCTCACGAGGGTATGTTTCGTGCTTATAGCCCCATTTGTAAGGTCAAGAGCCTAATCGTGCATTAGCTCACGCAGCAGGCGATGAACTATGCCATTCGGTAAGGATCAGCTCCTCTCTTTTACTACACCATCCATTATAGCATTGGCTAACTCCATAGCTAGCTCAGGCATAGCGATCACTGCCAAATATGCCATCAGTCAATCGTCTCGCTTACTCAAAGTAAGTGCAAACTTGGTCTGCTTTTACCGAACTGCGCAGAAGCCCATAGCTGACCACATGTACCTTCACTCCATTAGAATGTTGACGATGGTGAAGAGAGGGAAGAGCTACTTACGCTTCAGCACCGACTGGAAAGCAAGATACAGGTCATTTCGCCCGCCATTGACATGATTGAACTCATGTAAGTGAAGCCAGTGAGGGGGTGACACTGATAACACCTGGAATTTAACACCTTCTAGTGCTGCAAGAGGTAATACATCACTAGAGTCAGCTGTGTTCCTCACAAAATCTCTTCGCTGGGATATCCAGTCCCTCGGACAGCGGCTAGCAAAGACTGCTGCATCCGAAGAACTGTACCTCAGAGGGGCAAACCCCCAAAGAGACCGTTCCCAACACAAGGCAGAGATCAAGCTTATCATCAAGGACATCAAAAGACTCCTTGTTCGTATCGAGGATGCCGTGCCGCTTATGAACTTGGCTATCACGACGTCGGGTGCTAAGCTATCAACAAACCTCCCATCGAGTGTGTCTCCATCCCGACTGCTACAGGCAAGCACCTTCCTGACTGCTGGCGATACGCAATACTCTATGTATCCATCTCAAGCGGTCCAGATTGGCCCTACATTCACTCTGTCTATGTACATGCTCTTTTCCAGTCACCTTCGGCCGCATGATGAAGAAGGTATCCGCGAGGCAACCTGGAAGGAAGTTATGCACAAGGCGCGTTTGAAGCTCCGCAGGGTACCTATGGACCTAGCCGCAATCCCCCAGTCTGAGACACCGCATTTGAGGCTTCCTGCCGAGGCAAGAATTGACGAATTTGCCTATCAAGTGTTAATCATCGAAGATCTGGATGATGGCAGAGTCCATACATTCGACGAAAGTGAGCCGCAACCCCACAGCTACGAAGGTGTCAGCACGGCAGGTTTACGCGAAATTCTTCCAATCCACGAAATCTCCAAGATCTTCTATGCAGATACCGGCAAGATCCTAAATATCAACACTGAAGGAGAGACTAACAACCCCGTTCTCCTCCTGAAGAGAGATATCAACGCCATACCACCCCGACGTATGGTTGAACGCGACGAGACAGTGTCTGGCCTCGCTCCCGGGGATCACCCAGAAGATGATGAGGGAGAGGAGGAAATTGACGAGATCCAAGCCCAGCTAGATGCCCAACTCAACGAGGCAAATGCCCACCCCGGACAACCTAGTTTCCACAGAAGCGCCATCCCAGAGGAATGGCGACTCCCCAAAGATCTAGATCCCGAGTGGATTGCATTCGAAGTGTACAACGAAGAAGAGTCATCCGACTCGGAATCAGAAGCAGAAGAGGACCACACCTCACCATCTAGAGCGGGCTCCATCGATCCCGAAAGGATGGCGAAGCTTTCTCTCCACGACAACACAACCACGCCATCGCGCCGCAGCACCCCCTCTTCATCCCAGCGCATATCCACAGCCACCGTCTCAAATCCCCACTTCAACAACATCCGCACATCTCTATCCCTCCTGGAGACCCTCCTCCGCCTCACCTCCCTCCAACAATTCCAGCAACAATCACACCTATCCATTAGTGACGAGCTTCTCAACTTCTTCCTCGAGGAATCATCAACCACCGGCGCCGGAGGCGACGAACAACACCGCCAACGGCTCCGCGCTGACGCAAGACGCAGAGTTGGCTGGGATCCGTATGATGAGAGCCCCGTCAAACGAAGAGGCGAGGACTACCAGTACGCATGGACGTCAGAGGGTACTCCGCTCAGATTCTCGCGCGAGACGAGCGAAATGCCCTACTCGCCTGGTGATAGCAGGACTAGAGGATTCCATCTAAGGTCCCGAGAGAATACTCCCGAGACACCGTTACGGTACGGGCGCTCCGCCTCTGTGCAGTCGTCGGATCTTAAGTCCCGTGGCGCTCGGCGCGGACCGTCATCGGCTGTTCTTGCTAGTGAGAGGTCGAGGGGAGGGTCTCCTCTTTCTAGGAAGTCCACACCGGGTCCTGTTGTGGAAGGGGATGATGCTGAGGCTGATGGTCCTTCGGAAGAGTAGGTGTTGGACCACACTATCGATATCACTATCACTATCAAGCAAATGACGAACGTTACGACTACGATGCCGATGCGATACAAAGGGTTTGTACATGGGATAAATACGAATACTCCTTGTGAATAGACTTGCATATCAATAGATTCCACGTTCTGCAATCTAGCTCCAAAACAGGACTATCTTTCAGAAGCGCAGATACCATATACTAATCGAGAAAAGGGGAAGGTAGGTGTGGTTGGTACTGTCAAGGGAGGGGAAAAAGGACAACAAAGCGAAGACAACACAGCACGCAACTGCTAATACCAAAGGCGTATCGCGTAGGGGGGTGGGAATAGAGAAACGAACGACTTGAACGAATAAAAGAAGAGTAAGGTGGCAATCCCAACGCCTGAAGATATCAAACAAACGACACCGCAACTCCTCGCAACGCGATTAATTCAAGTAGGATATGTAAGGCAGAACGGGGAATCCTTTCTCTCTCTCTCAGACCAGCCAGTGGTCAGTCAATAGTTTGGAGAATCTCTAGCAACTATACGACGCAGTCAATACTTATGCTTCACACCAAGCAATCTTCCCAGCCTAGTCATCATTTACTCCCAGTCGTCATCGCTTTCCTCGTCCTTGGCCTTTTCCTTGGGACTGGCAGGAGTGCGGCTGGTCGCACCGCTGACGAGGTCGTAGCTGGATTCGCTGTCGGGCTGGGACTGTTGGTCGTTGGACCGGCGGGGTTCTGTGGGCTTCAGGGTATCCTTCTCGGTAGCAGTGGCAGTAGGGGTGGCAGAGGTGGCCTTGGTGGTTGAGGTAGATTGCTGGACTTGAGGCGTAGAGGGAGAGTCGGTGTCGTCGTCGGAATCATCATCCCACTTGACTTCTTCCTCATCGACGTTGACATCTATGGGACAAGTTAGAGAAGAGCCATAGCATATATGGGGAAGGGGGAGAAAAGGAAATGAACATACCCTTAAGAAGCTCCTTCCGCTTCTGCTCCTCAGTCTCAATAACCAAACGCAAGAAATAGTACCGGCACCAGAAGACCGCGTATTCCACCTTCTCGGGAACAAGCTTCTCCATGGCGGAGCGCAGCTCCGGATACTTCTCCAAGTCGGCGGCAATAGCATCCGTCTTATCGTCCACATTGAAGGACTGCTTGAAAGCAGGCCACTCATCACTCACGGGGTCCTTCGAAAAACTCTCCAAATTCGAATGGATGACATGAAGCTGCGCCTCGAACCGCGTAGCATGGATAACGCGCTTCCCATCTGCATCCTTACTTTCAAACAGTAGCTTATCCGACGACGACTCCGTAGACGGCGGCACAATGCTAACTGCATCCTTCAATTTCTGTCCAATATTCATCCCAAAGCGCAGGATAGCTTCGTCGGCTGCTTCCTCTGCCTTTTCGATCTCCTTAAGTCGGCGGGCGGCCTCAGCCTTGAACCGCGAGAGGAACCCCTCATTACTGTTATCCGAGCTGGCAGAAGGTCCAGCCTTCTCCTTCTCTTCGGCCTCATTCTTGGGCGTAGATGACGATGTTTCCGTCTCCTGTTCAGTTGTTGTACTGCTGCCAGCGCCGATGATATTATTGTTGAAAGCTGTGCTCAGGGACAACCCCCGCGTGCGCCCGACGATGCTACTCTTCAGATCCGAGAACCCCTTGGCGGCTTCTTCGCTGGCGGCGGCGTACTCCTGGCGAGCGCCTTCGTAATAGCTTTCGCCTTGTTTGCGGACATTGTCCCAGAGCCCGCCGATGCGTGCACCCCAGGGACTCGCGGAGAAAGCGCGGAAGGTTTCCTGCAGTTCGGCGTTAAGGTCGACATTGGGGCGGTCTGAGTTGGTGGCGGGTGCATCGGAGGGGTTGTTATTGTTGTTGCTGTTGTTTTCTTTCTTGGCGGAATCGTTGGAGGAGAAGATCTCCTCTTGGATGTGGTCATAGGCTACATCCATGACTGCGGAAGGTGGACAGAATCAGAGAGGGATATCAGATGAAGTTGGAGGGCATATCGTGGATTGGAATGAGGGATGCGGAGGATGTTCTGGTCGGTCAACTGGGCGGTTTCGTTCCCGGGGCTACGACGGCCCGACCGCCTGCTCACTGTCACTCCCCACGTGCTGAGGAGTTACTACGGGCTTCAAACACTGTGAGCGAGGGATATCGTATATTGTTACGTACTATATATGATCTAGTCTCATAGGGTATATTGATGCCGTGTCTCATTAGTGTCGTGATAAATCGGGCTGTCCCATCGTGTAGAGTCTACGAGTCTGGTAAACTGTAGGGCTCTCCAACGCTATCTTGGCTATCCATCAAGAAGGCCGGAAGGGGCACGCTTTCCATCACACTCGATGTAAGGATCTGGCTCCGGCTCAGGATTCCACGAGGACCGGAATTTTCCTCCTTATTCTTCTTGTGGTGTCGGTCTGCTGGCTGTGAAGACTCCACTTGTACCACGTCCCTTCGCGCAAGGGGCTCAGGGGGAATGAACTCCTTCGCTCGGGTGCCGTTTCCTTGGCGTGTGATAGGTGAAGATTCCGGGACCATCTCCATTGGGGCCTTGTCGGAACTTTGTCCCTGAGTCTGGCTAAATGCTGGTATGCAAGGTTTGGACATTGCACGACTGTCCGTTCTAGGAGATGACGGTAGGGGTGACATGGTCCGGAGTGCTTGCTGGTCATTTGGCTCTTCTGGAAACAGCTCAGCCAACTTCTGGGAGCTTAACGTCGGGATTGTACCAAGGGGAAATTGGGTAGCTGGCTGCAGTCTTTGGTAATATATCGATGCTTCGGAGGTTGGGTTTGGTTCCGGAAGCGGCGGCTCTGCTTCAAGGTCTAGTTCGGATGGTATCATGGGCGGAAGGTCTTGGTCTTGCGAACCGTCTTTCGAGCGATCAAAATCAAGGTCATCAGTTGCATCGGGGTCCCCTTCGACGGGCTCTGGGCTTTTGGGAGAAGCAGGAGCGTCGGGTAAATCGTTTTCAAGGTCGCCATAGTCGCTCTCTGCATCTGTCTCGTAAATTACTGNTCTCTGTGAGTTCACCGCTCCTCCTTTGGAATCTCGAAGCCTAGGACTGCTATTCAGACGAGCTGGTTTCGTCGGCGTNTCTGCTTGATCGACCGATGTTTGATGGGCTGTACCATGTCGATGGGAAACCCGCGATTCTAGAAATCCGGATTCCGGCAGTATATCGTTAGGAAACAACAGCATCGGCTCTGAATCTTGGAAAGGTTCTTCTTTAATATGATGCAACGCAGGTGATTCTTCCTTGATACGTCGATCGGCAGTGCCGGCAGCCACATGCTTTTGTGGAGAATGAGTAGCGCCACGGAACTGAGAAGATGTAATGATTGCAATACCAGGGCTCTCGGGAGATTGTGACGAAGGTATCTCGCGTTTAAAGCGTTTCTTTGGCGTCACTGGAGCTTCGGACACTCCCCGGTTATTCGTAGCTTCCGCTATTACCGTCGCACCTGCTTCATCCTTGATTTCCTGTGCCTTGCGCCCGTTTAATCTGGACTGACGGTCATCCTGTTGTTGGTAACTCTCAGGATTTCGAGAGTGCGTCTGCTGGATATCCTGTCCATCGTTCTTCTTAGGAGTAATGTAAGTATAGTCCAGCTTCACGTCATCGTCTGGTTCGATCTTCAGATAACGCCGCACGTAGTCCATTTGAGTGAGGGTCTTATGTCCTTTCGCCTTGTCCTTGTCTTTTTTGCTGATATTGCTGCCCTCGCCGGCTTTTCTGCGCTTCTGTTTCATGTCGCCGCCACCTTGGGAGCTCCTCTTTTTCGGCTTGGGGGCGGCATTCTTTGCACCTCGTTCGAACTTGACACCACGAATGTCAGCCAGCTTCGGCTTCAAATGTGATGGCGGTTGATAATCGGCGTCATTTTCGGAGTCATCATCAATCTCAATCACCTCAGGATCTGCCCGTCCCCTGCTGCGGGATTTGCTGTCGATGTAGTCGAGATCATCGTCATCACCATCAGACCCTGTATCCTGGGACTTCGGCGTGACAAAGTCAATCTGCGTAAGTGTCGGCTGATCCTGCAGACCGGGAAAAGAGCTTCTCTTCCATGATCTCGACGTCGATGCAGAGGACGCTGAGGGCTCTGCCCTGGCTAATGCTGCTTTGGCCGCGTTGGTCTCTGTTGCCGGACGTACTCTAGGAGGCTTGTCTGGTGTCTGAAATTGTCCTTGACTAGTGATAGTGCCGGTTATACCCGTACTCTCCCCTTGTCTCATCGCAACTCTGAATCGTCAGTGTCGTAGGTGAGTCTGCGGAGAGCCATAGGCGTTGCACGAGTCGATGGCCTCGGACGCAGCTCGTGGCCGATTAGATCAATGCGGACCGCGTAAATGGATTGATTCCTCAGTCAGCCAGATCGCGTCACGCGTCGAGCCCGCCATCTCCTGGTCCGTGCGTTCAGGCAACAAGGCAGCAACATAGCTGTTGCTCATACTCCGCCATGTTACTTTCTGTTTTATACTTCACACGCAATGTCTGGCGCGCTCAAAAGTTCCCTCCTGTTGCCGTTCAACGGGATCTGAGGTGCCTTTATTTATACCAAAAAGATATCAACCAGCTGTCATGGCCTACCTGACCTGTACCAGCCCTAAAGAAGCCCTTCATTTCCCTGCTTTACTAGCAGAGACTGCCTAGCAACCAAATCTCAGCCAAACGGAGAGCCAGAACAACAGGGGAACGAACCAGCGGAAAAGGAGGGAAAGGAACCATGAGTGCAGCTTGACGATTTGACACATAATGGGCGATTATTATTGGCAGACCACCCATTCATACTTGATCGACTTACCCATGCTGCTGATTGAGTTCAGTATTGCGTCACTACAGGACTCCGGGGAGCACCAACCATCCACCTATCTAAAATAATGGACTCCTCCATTCTTACCATCAGCAGTGGCAGAACCACTTCTACCACCTCTATTACCTCTGATCATCAAGATTTTCTTATTCAATTCAACCGCAATCTCTCCTCTCAGAAAGCGCCGCCGAAGTAGCGCACGCCTCACCCACTCCGCCACCACGAGCCCCGAATCACAGGAACCATGCTCACGAGATCCTTAAGACCCAAGGGAACCCTCCGCTGGACACGTCCAGGCCTGCCATACCGGCGGTGTTTGGCCCATGTCTCGAACGTCTCGGACCTCCCTACAGTGCGTTGCAGCCCACGCCCAGTTCACCATCTGACCCCGATCCACCTATGCCAGGATACAGAACTAACCCCTCCCTTATAGGAGGAAAACAAGCCTTTTAGCGTACCGATAGCAGACGACAGTTTCGAAACATACAACCTCGACCCTCCCCCCTACAGCCTGGAAACCACCAAAAGCCAACTAAAACAACTTTACTATGACATGTCGCTAATAAGGTCTCTTTCCATCCCCTTCCAATCATATTCGTCCTGGACCCCCAAATTAACTTTCCCAGACGCATGGAACTCGCAGCCGACAAGTTATACAAGGAACAAAAGATCCGTGGCTTTTGCCACCTCTCCACAGGCCAAGAGGCTGTCGCGGTGGGGGTAGAACACGGGATCAGCCCCGAAGACAAGGTTATCACTGCGTACCGCGCCCACGGATTCACTTTGATGCGGGGTGGGAGTGTCAAATCCATCATTGGAGAGTTACTCGGTCGCCGAGATGGCATTTGTCATGGAAAGGGCGGTTCGGTGCATATGTTTACAAAGAACTTCTTTGGTGGGAATGGGATTGTAGGGTCGAATGTACCCCTGGGGACAGGAATTGCGTTCGCGCAGCAGTATGATGATACTAAGAAGGTGACGGTGAACCTTTATGGAGATGGCGCTGCGAATCAGGGTCAGGTACATGAGGCGTATAACATGGCTAAGCTGTGGGAATTGCCTGTTATATTTGGCTGCGAGAGTGAGTTCGGTTGATTTCCAAATTTTTTCTCGGTTATCTTTCATCAGTTGTTCTTGTGTTATGTTGGATCACCCGGGACTCATTTTCTAATGCCATGTCTTGTCGCAGATAATAAATACGGAATGGGCACATCCGTGGAGCGCGCTTCCGCCATGACCGAATACTACAAACGAGGATATTACATTCCCGGTCTACGCATCAACGGAATGGACGTTCTGGCCGTAATTGCAGCAATGAAGTATGGCAAAGACTACGTGTTGGGCGGAAATGGACCTTTGCTGTACGAATTCCAAACATACCGGTATGCGGGACACTCGGTATCTGATCCGGGGACGGCGTACCGGAGCAGAGACGAAGTGCAGGCTGAGCGGGCCAATGACCCTATCACGACTTATCGAGAAAAGATGATTGAATGGGGTGTGCTCAGCGAGGACGATGTTAAGACGATGGATAAGGAGATCCGAAGCAAAGTTGACCGCGAAGCTCAGGAAGCGGAGAAGATGGCGGAACCACCTTTGAATTCTGATGTGTTGTTCGAGGATATTTATGTTCGTGGTAGCGAGCCAGCCCAGCGGCGCGGGAGAACCGTTGATGAGACATACTACCGGGGTTGATAAGGTAAAGCCACCAAAACTTTAATGTCGAGGGGTGTTGCGCTTTCATAGTGAGCTCATAGGCATGTGCCTCGCATAAGATAGGTCGGTATAGTCTAGTCTAATTGAACGTCATTATGATTAGCAAGGCCTCGGATAGTAAATAAAGGGCATGCAGCACTTAGGGAGTTTGTAGCCAGTAGACCCTAACCGAACGACGCGTATTCTGCTGTAGACAGGTACCATAACATCATCGTCCAAATGGCTTCATTCAATCCAACCTTGAAAACCCCCGAGTACTGCACTGCAGACTTCTCTCTAATTCCAGTATGTGACCACTTGTTTCTATTTAGCTAAAGGGAGACAGAAAAATGGCTCGGTCGATACCAAATTCTAACACCCGTGACCTAGATCGGCTCTCAAAGCGCATCCTTCTCCAAGCAGGTTGCGGATATCCAGCGTCTGATGCAGAACTCCGGTCTCAAGTATCAGATGCACGCCACTGGAACTATAGTTGGTATGCTTCCGTTCACATTCAACCCGTTTCGATGCTGGATCGGAATTTTAGTCGTGGATATCGGCCCGAACACTGCATGAAGCAACGATGTAGGGCTTCCATGTGGAGTCTTTATTCTGAGATCATGTGCTATTTCCCGTCTTTGTTTTTGCAAAGCTGATACATCTGGTTAAAGAGGGATCGTGGGACCAGGTATCCCAAGTCATCGGATACGCCCATACGCTGATTCACCAGGAAGGCATCGCCAGGATTCAGACGGACATTCGCATCACCACTAGGTGAGTTTGCTTTTCGTAGTTTTATCCACTTTCTTGGCCGTTATCTTAGACTAGTGTATAGGACCGACAAGGTGCAGCCTATGGAGGCCAATATAGCCTCGGTGCAGAGGGCTCTTGCGACTTAATGTGGCCATGAGACAACCGTCTGGGCGCGTATAGGAAGATGTGCGTCTTGTGTTTTGAAAGTCTAAGTTTCAGTACAAGTCAGTAATCTAGGATGCCAAGTGAATGATGAACGCTGTTTACAGAACCATATCAAATCCACACATAACTAGCACCATACTCATTTGTGGATATGTAGTCAGCCCCCCCTCCGATATGCCCTAGCGATGAGATACGTAAAGGTCTGTAATAGACTGGACGACTCTATCCCAGAAACCTTGTAAGTGTTTTTGATCCCTGTTATGGTCCAAGAGCCCAACTGATCTTAGACCAGGATCCCACTCCTGTTGGATCGACGGAAGCGGAAAGTCAACGAGAGGCAAGAGGGGGAGAAGTCAATCAACCTGCGACAGTATCTCCTGCTGTGTATCTCTGCCCATCACCAGTTTGGCCCACTGTACTACAGTGGAAGGTGCATCTCATCGTTGTGCTCCGGTGAGAACGATCAAGTTCGGGCGTGCGTATCTATGCAGATCGCGTACTAGCGGCGTGCGCTGAATCTATTTTATAGTGTACCGGTCACAGCCAGATGTCCTATCATCGCGATGACGGCGGGGTAAGTTGATTTTGGATTCATTCACATGGTCGAAGTGAGCCTTTTTCTTGCGTTAGTATCATCTAACCCGAGGTTGCCCGAACGTCAGGGCAGCATTCCTGCGGTAATTGGCAGAAAAACCAAATGCAACTAGCTGGAAGCTCCTGCATCTTGGTGGATACGGGAGGGGGGAGGGATTTGTTACCTGGCAAAGTGGGAGGCATGCCACGCATATCGACGTCACAAGACGGATGTTGCTGGTCAGCCAAAGCTCTGCATGAGGCGTTGAGAAAAGAGGAGAGAGAAGAGAGCCCAGTCACGATAGATTGGGGGAGTCAGACAGATCTCGCTGGCTGACGAGAGAGACGGCTAGATAGCCGTCCCAGGGACATGGACGAAGAAAGCCAGGGATAAGGCACGATTACCAGGACGGGGTTTAGCCTGGACGAGCGCATCAAATGAAGGATGAGTTTGGGGGTGGAGAAGTTCATCTGGCGGATCCTTCCACGGCTGGAAAAGGTGGAAAATGGAAATTGGGAAATTGGGGGAAGCTTTTTTCTTACTTGCTGGCCAGTCGTGCCTCTTGCCTGTTCGGGACTCGCTACGATTCGACGCCTGGCAACGATGGAGTTCAATCTGTTGCTTAGTGCCGTCCTTCGTCCTCCAACCAGTCCACCCAGCATAATGGAGCCACTCACTGTCCTGATGACACTATTCCGAGGAGGACAGGCATTTAGAACAGGCTAAAGTTGATGTTAATGAGCCTGAGGGGAAGGAATTCCAAGCCTGAAAAAAAGAATTAGCACTGGCATGGAAAACGAAGCATGGTGAGAGGCTAGAGCTGGCCCTCCTCGATCATACAAGAGCGAAACAAAAGTACGAAGCAGGACGAATTAAACAATATGACAGAAGGCACGCAGTCAAGAGGGAAGGATTCTACCATCCAGATAGAAACTCTCTCCCACTGGCCTTCATATGCCTGACGGAGGCAAGATCTGCGGCGTAAGCGTTCTATTAATTAGATGTCCAGGCATGGATGGCTGGGGATGGTAATCCCGAACGCCCGAAATCAAACTCCCCGGTCCAAAAGTCTCCCCCCAGTCTTACATCTGGCCTCTGCAACGATGACACGACCACAGCCTTGGGTCCTGTCTGTCATGCGTGCGACAGCTTGCTAATGCATCCGATCATGCCCCGAGAAAAGCAACCTGAAGTCTGGACACTAGAAAGAGCGTCGATGATTTGTTTACCGTTCGGTATTGACGGCCCATAGTGCTAAGAGACTATCCAAGAAGCATGGCACGAGCTGAGCTGGCCCGAAACAGATCGTCCGCCAGGCCAGCACACCATCCTATCCCCTCTTACCATCCACGCGGACTCGAGATGAAGAAATTCCGTTCGGTTGGCTCTAACTATCCCGGTCTATACTTGCTAGGATTAACCACGCAAGTTGCCTACAATGTAACGTCTTTGCTTTTTGCTTTAGGCATAGGCACATACCGTCAACTGAAACCAAAACCCCACAGCAATGTGTTAGCATCTCCATGCATCTTGTACCTAGAACATGCCTCGCCCGTCTTGGACCGCAGTACTACGGAGTATTTGGGACTGTAAAACGTAGGGAAGATCTCCGCTCACGCGTGCAGAGACCTATTTGATGACCATAGTAATCTCTATAACGCTTCAGCGATAGGAAAGGAAGGTGGTTGGCTAATTTATGGATGCACCAGCACGAAACGGTATCTGCTCTGCTCATCAATCAAGAGGGTAGGGATGCTCCATCCCAGGCTAAATTTTTGACTGGGTACGGCGCAGATTATTGTCCAGCCTGATTTGAGATCCGGAGACTAAATGCAGATGTTAAGGCATATTCTTCGGCGTGGTTGTCTTGGTAAGTCCCAGGCCCAGTACGCTGGGAGCATCGTGACATGGTTACACCCACTTATTGCCAGGCATGCAGGTAATTCTCAGCTTAGCGCGGGAATCTCGACTCTTCAGAGACACGTGATATAGTCTAGAAGAAAGCTCCAGAGTACCTCTGAATGAACTATGACCCGACTGTACTTAGTTGGGTGAAACGAGGATCTGGTGGGAACGGGGGAGTATAATTGGGTATGCAGGAAGGGGAAAAGTATCCGCATGCGGAAGTCGGCCTTGTTCACGCCTTGTGGCGGACAGAGCGTCTTCGAAAAGTCGAGGACATCAGAAACCAGTAAATTATGGAGATCTAGCCTAGGAAGCTCGCAGGGCTTGGCATGTCGTTCTCTTCCTCGTTCTTACCTGGCGCAGGCGAGTCTGCCCCTATCAGAGCCAAGAATGCGTACACCATGCCCACCCGAGTTACGGGGCATGCGCGCCGCAGACCCGTTTGGGATCCCTTTTGTCTCGCATCACTTGGGAGCTCATTGCAAAGCACACCGCGATATTGACCCTTGTACCTGCAAAGTCTGTTGTTGTCGCTAAGCTTTGTCCTGGGTCACAGCCCACAAGCATTTTGGATTATAGTCATCATCATTTGGAAAATTTCCTGACCGAGGTATCATCACCACGTCCCCACCGCAGCCCATACACCGCTACAAAGAGAGTAGCAGCAATGTAGGACGGATACGTGATAGCCCACAATGTTTTCTGGTGTGCAATGCGGTCGTCCTAGGCTTGTGGCAAGGCCCGCTGTTACAGCAGTTTTGCCAGAGCCTGCAAGTTAGAGGTGCGATGGACCTTCATACATTTGCACCGGCCATGGTGTAAAAGACCACAAGTAAGCCGGACCCTCACCCAATAGAATTTGGTAGTAAGCAGAATGCATGCTAGCTACTAGTAGGAAGGAATGAAGGAAGGTCGTCCCGGCCTAGCTTCAATCTATCGTGAATTTATTTTCGGCACCGGCTCGGTTGTCAAGGTCATTGGGAGGAGGGTGGGCTGCAAGGGCCAAAAACCAGGCCAGCGACCAAGGAGAGTGAGCTAACTACTACTACTACTACTACTCAAGGAAAGCCGGACAAGGCCGGGTCTTGAACCAGAGCCAGAGCATCATGGTGATAGTAGTAATCCGTCACTTGGCAGATCTGACTTAGCTTGGTAAGAGAAGGGAGCCACTCCAGTGACAGGGATCGAGAAAGCCGTTGGAGTGATCAGTCTGATAGTCCACCATGGTGATTGACGGACAATCTCAACATGCAGTAGCCCAGCCATCACTATCCTCCTCTGAGAGTTAGTGAGTGGCACTTGATAGGCTCTTACGTCCGCTAGTGTACTGGGGTGAGACGGCCTGGTCCTGCAACTCCAGGAGGAGGGGTGTGTTTAATTTTTTTTTTTTTTTTTTTTTTTTTTTTTTTTTTTTTTTTTTTTTTTTTTTTTTTCTTTTTTTCCAAGTCCGCGCCTCCGCTAAAGCTCGACCCCCAAATGATCGGAGCAGGCTTACTAGGCTCCCTGGAGTCCTTCCTTTTCTTCCATGGTGGCCCCCTCTTTTCCTCCCTCCCACCCCGCTAGACAAAAATCTCAAGGGTATCTTTTTTGGACGGCCACCATCGGCCTCCCCGAGAGTCTTTCGTTTCGCTCGGCTCCATCATCCATTCCACTGAAATCCCTGCAATGGGTCAACAGGGTTCTTTACCTAATGTAGCCTATAGTACACGAAGCATAACATTGAATAGCGCTATTCCGAAAAACTGGGACACGAAGTCACCCAATCCCTGCTGTTCAGGAACTTAAGATGACTCGCTATTCGTCCCTGTTGGTGGGACATGCACAACCAGACTAACGAATTAAGACTGGGGACACTTGTCTCCTGTTTGTTCGTATCATTCGGGATATGCATCATGCACCGCGGGATCTGAAGAAGAACAGATCCTCAAGTAATGTTAGAAAAAGAAAAAGATATTACTGCTGAGCTCACGACTTTCCCAGCATTATGCTTCTCAGGACTGGGAAAACGAGGAGCCATCGTGGGTGTGACCGAATGATGGGTCTCAACGACATCATTCGAGAAAAACCTAAATATATTAAACATGGCACTGCACGATATTTCCGGCACTGTGATCCCTGCCCCTTGTATACACGACCCAAAACCCCGATATTGACGATGGAAGGACGCTTACACGCTGTCTCCGTTTGTGAACTACTCATTCAACTGGGGAGGAAAGAGTATTACCCTGACACCTACGGTATTGTAAGAACAGGGCGACCATCTCATGTATGGCCTGGCACGAATTTATCAAGGTACCAGTCGGGCACCTCTTTAGAGAAGAGTTACTGGGTTGAGATGTGCGCGATGATTTGGAGTCTTGACATTGAGCCGGCAATTGACGAGAGGAGTGTTGTTCATAGCCTTGTCTTTGATGCCGACGGAAGGCCAGCTCTTGATACCGTACACGTATCGTCTACGGGGTACTCACCAAATTACTCGGGGAGGCATCTAGTCTTTCCGTATTCGTAAGCTTGTCTGGATGAGTGGCAGAGCCACGCAGAGAGTTTAGCCATCCATCGAAAGCCTGGAACGAAGCTCGACTATCACTTCCGACAACATCCAGGTCCGTGCCAGTCTCAAATGGCGAAGGGGGCAATAATTTCTAGAATTTGGAGTAATCAGTTCTACTTGGAGATGAGAGACCCGACGATATCGCAGGTATGATGAAAACGTTTCACCTACGCCTAGAGTCTTGATCGACCACAGGTGACTATGGCATGCATGTAAGTCTGGATTCAAACTGGACGCTGATGGAATCCTTCCGACAATAAAGTGGGCGGAAACAGTCCAACTGCAGACGATAGCCTTTCTTAGGACTTGCTACTATACTAAGCTACCCATAGGCTAGTATGTTCTCGGGATCGTAGTACTAGTATTGTCCCAATATATTTTGATTGTTACCTTCGTCAGGCTAACGGAGCAGGAACCTCGCGACCAACAATGCTTCTGCGGGGCGACGATCCAGTCGAACCCATGCAAGCGACCAATTTCAAATAACAATGAGACATCTGCGAATGTCGTACGATGTTGGGAGGGGGTTTTATCCCTCCTTTGGGTATGAAAGCCGGGAATGAGTTGGGATGGAAAGTGGTAACTGCAGTCCAAGCTTAGTTTAGCATCATTGTTCATACTTGTCGGTGGTTGAAGAACCGGTTTCCCCATGCGGAATGACCATGTGACAACGATATTTTCGGGAGACTTGCTTGATGCTGCTGGCAGTCAAATCTGAGCCAACTGAGATTCTGCAGTAGCTACACCTGACATCTACAGGACACACATTTGCCAATATTCCAATCAAGGACATTTGACTCACCAAGAAACTTTTCATTCACCCTTCAGAGACGGGAGCTTCCCGGCATCGCTGGGAGTGGAGTGTGGGCCTAATGAATTTGGAATCAAACCAAGGGGAGCAACCAGAAGCTGTCGAGGTCGAGTGGGACAAAGTGGAGGGGAATTCCGCCGACGAAAAGGTGGGTCAAGTTATCCCGACAGACTGGATACTGCGGTACCTCCGTCTGCTCTTGATTGATTATCGCTTCTATTTTTCTTCCCTATTTTATTTTTTATTTTTTTTATTTCTCTTTTTGCTATTTCTCTTCCCCGAGTCACAGAACTGGTGGATGAAGTGAAATTCAGGCCTAAAAAGGGCCGGGAGAAGAGGGAGGCATGCGTCTCTCAACTGGCTGTCTGCCAGTTAGTCTATTTAACTTTCCTAGAGTCAAAATAAATTACGCAGGCTTATCTCGCTGTGTACTAGGATCATGCAAATGCATGCGCCTCAACATCCGTCTAACTTCAGCCCAGTCGGGATATTGGGGGTCGCAGTCCATGGATGCGCCTTTCCGGCGGTGCGGCACCAACAACCATTGGATCCCAAATTCGGTTGAAGATCACCCAATCTGCTTCCCCTCCTGGATGATGTATCACTGCTCCATCCCGGAGGTACCGTGTAGCTACCTACTCTTGCACCTTGTTGTTCGGAAATCATGCGATTTTCCTGCTTCGTCGTCTTTACTATAGGGGACACAAGGCCACAGCTACAGCAGGTCTTAGGACCTGTCAGGATTCCAAATGCTTTTCTCGAACAAAAATGTCCGGACCATTCGGGCCGCCACACTGGGTAGGCCGACCAACATTAAGTTATTAACCGACCTTACCATCTCGACCATCTGGGCCCCTGATTAGCGAGCGTCTCTTAGTCCGATATGCACAGGACTATCAATTTAGTAATAGTGTTTCGCCCCCCGTCGCTGGCTGCTCCCGGCAGCCTGGGACGCCCGTGCTTTTTCCCTTACCTTTTTTCTTTTTTTCCCTTTATTGCTTTCGCTTTGGATTCTGATTAGTCCAGCAGCTACCCAGTAACCTGGCACCAATGCCCAGCGGGAGGGGCAATTTAAAAATGAAAAAAGAAAAACAGGAAAGATGAAAAAGCCAGACGGGTCGGAGGAAAGAAATAGGCAGATCTTAATGACCTACTGATGAATGCGTTGTCAATCTCCCCCGGCCTGGCCGCAATAATTGAACGCTAGTGTATGTCTTCCCCTCATACTGGGAAAGAAAAGGTCAAAAAAAAAATAAAATAAATAAAAGAAAAGAAAAGGCTACCTAATTTGAAACCACGGTCAACTCCGACCTGAAGGAATGGGAGACGATCCTTGAAGTCGCTTCAAGTGATCATGGAACCCATGCCGGGGACCCAAAGGATCGGAGGGCCATTCGTCTGCGGTAGTACCCGTTGTTTCCGAGCGGAAGCTGTAGAAGAAGAGAGAACTTTCCGAAGGGGTCAAAATGGATTTGATTAGCTTTGTGTGGGAGACAGGAAAAGTTAATTGGGGGGGCTTTTTCTCGGTGACGCTCGGCAGGAATAATGACCACCACTAACATAACCTACTTGCGTCTTCCTGCGTCCACCGTACTTCGTATCGGAAGGCAACAATGCAGAGGCAAACGGGAAATTAAGCACCTACATACATGGGCTATATGCAGCAAGCACCATGCGGGAAGCCCAGCTATGCGGACATTGGGCCAGCCTGTACGTAGGTGTAATCGAGGTAGGTATAGTGTCTAGTGTCCAAGTCAGTCAAAAAAGATTAAGATCAGACATTGGATGGGCTTGGGTTTCCCACCACCCGAACAGAACCGCCCACTCGGTTCACACAAGTAGTATCTATCCTACCTCTCTAGAATTTAAATTTTTTATTGTCCTTTTCCCACCCCCTCGCGCCCGTGGGTACCACCCGGTCCCTAATACCCAGTACCTTATAGTGAGTATCTATTACTATACAGAGAAGACCGCCGCCTAAGGACCGAAAAGTCTTACTGCAAGTAGGGATAGTGTACTACCCTAACTGGTTTGGTCAGTCACTGAGAGCCAACCTAACTTTTTATTTTTATTTTTATTTTTTTTTCCCTATATTTTTCATTTTGCATCTTGCAACTTTTTCTGTCACGCAAATTATCATTATTGTTTATATTATAATATGAATACTTTTTTCTTTCTTTCTCTGTATCCAATGGTGTGTAATGGCTGTCTCTCAAATAAAAAAGCCCCTTAATTATGGTGATTGTCTGGCCCAGTCACGGCCAAGAGTTTCTGGTATCTTTCTTATTTTCTTACTTCTATTTAGCTTTGAGGAGGATTAGGTATCTTCCCTCCCCTCCCCCCATCCTGCTAAAGTCAAACTTAATCCAACCTGTCGGGTTCAGGGAAGGAGATTGGGAAAAGACAGCCGACGGCCCTCCTCTGCCACCCACTTCTGATGCTACCTACCCACAAAATGTCAACCACCCCCTGTCCAGCAACAATTATAGACTCCGTAGTGCTGAGGAGGAACCTGTCAGTCAATCTTAAATATTATCTGGCCTGCCCAGATGCTCTCCAACTTCCGGCATGACATCTTCGAGGTTTTCCAAATCCCATAGCCCTCCCCTCCACCCTGTACAGTAACGGAGAATTTGTAACCCTTCTTCGCCACGACTGTCTCTACAATACTCTACGACCACCTATTACTACTACTACAACATCTGCATACTTTCCCGTAAATACAAACCCTTCTTATTCTTATCAATTTTAGGCCATCGAGTCCGTGCTGGGATTGAATTTCTCATATTATTTCCTTATGAGATATCGTTTTTATTTTTAAACCAACTCACCCTCGTCGAGCATCCACTGACTAAGTCGCCTTACCGAGCCCTGGGCCTGGATACTACCTGCGTACTACCATTCCCACCCCCACTCGGACGCTGGCCTCATAAGCCCCAGTTTCCCAAGTCCCCTGGTACGCATAATGCCTACGGGTAGATCAACTGTGAGCACTCCCCTACTTGAATCCCTGACAAGGTCCAATCTCTTCTGTTGGTTGTGGTGGTGGTGGTCTTTTCTCCAACTCTTTGCTGTTGCTCTTGGTCGCCGTCTACATTGTTCTTTCGATCGGCAACCTTCTAGTATTCACTAACACACCATGTCGCAGGGATCTAGTCGTGAAGAGTAAGTACTGTCATTTCCAAAGAATAAGCCAGAGGTGCAAGACCTGCTTGGTTACTCGCATCTTCACTTCTATTGGTGGTGTCAGTGCTAAATGTGACAATAGTGACACGCAGTCATTGACTGCCAGTGTAACGGACTACCCCATGGAATATGGAAGACGATACCACAAATATCATGAGGGCTGTATGTGCAGGCCTCTTCGATCTATTGGAGTCAGCCTCCTCGTCCCTTACTAAATCACTCTTTCCCCAGCATACTTATATCCCAACGACGAGCAAGAGCTAGACCGTATGGACATGCAACACCACATGCTCAAATTGGTCAACCGCGGGCGGCTGCTCTTTGCCTCTCCCCAAAGCCCAAAGAGGATCCTAGATGTTGGCACTGGCTCCGGTATATGGCCCATAGAACTAGGTAAGCGAAAAGAAAAGCTCTTTCCCCCCCATCCTCCCCAGCTCATACTTACCGGACAGTTTCTCATCGTGTCTCCATCACATGTAGCGTCTGAATTCCCAGCAGCCGAGATTATAGGAACCGATCTTTCGCCTGTACAACCGAACGAAGTCCCCGAGAACGTCCATTTCCTAGTCGATGACGTTACAGAGGACGAGTGGCTATGGGGCCCCAACCACTTCGACGTCATCCATGCTGGTCATCTTTCGGGTTCTCTGCCATCATATAAAGACTTGTTACGGAAAGTCTTCAAGCATCTCAAGCCTGGTGGCAGCGTCCAATGTGATGAGTTTGATCCGAAGCCGAAATGCGATGACGGAACCATGCCAGAAGAGGATCCCGATAAGTTCAGTGAATACGCTCTCCAAGACCTGATGGATCTACATCACCGTGCCGGCCAGGCTTCAGACCCGCCCCGGCAGTTTCGAGTGGCCCATCGGTTGGCACGCTGGATGAGAGAAGTAGGATTCGAGGATGTTCAGGAGCGAGTCCAAAAAGTACCCGTGAACCCTTGGTCTACCGACTCTCATCTGAGAACGATTGGTTCGTGGAACGAGACAAACCTGCTGGAAGCCGCAGCTGGCTGGTCTTACAAGCCTCTCACGATTCTTGGCTGGTCGAAGCCCGAGATCGAAGTCTTCCTCGTCGATGTTCGGAAATCCATTCAGAACCGTGATGTTCACGCCTATTTGGATTACTATGTGGTCACAGGAAGAAAACCACATCCTGCTTAGTGAGAGAGCCCTTGAAGGGTTTCACTGCGAATTTTACGGCCTCGAAAGAAAAGCACCACATAGCAGATAACGTCCTTTTTGGATTATCGTTCCTTAGCGTCTATACCTCCTTTTTCCGTCATCGCCGGATCTGTCCTTATTTTCATCTACCATTTCCTTGTGTGTTGGCAAGCATTGGCATAAGATACCACCGACTACTACAGAGAAACATCATATATGCATAGAAGGCGTGCAGGGGCCTCCTTTTCTTTTCATATTCTTTTTTCCACTTTTCTGTTCTTGCACATATATAAATACATCCGACATAATTTGTCTAGTCATTCCCCTTTTTCTTTTTTTTTTTTTTTTTTTTTTGTTTAGCGAATAGGCAATCATATAGACATTCAGTATACAAGAATAAACCAAACCCACGAGCATTCAGCCTTACGACAATATCCCCACTCATCCAGTATTCCACTCAAAGAAAGAAACATAAAGAGAAGGAAATGAAAAAAATTTCTACTCCTCCGTAACACCCTCAGAATTAACCACAGCGTAACAACTCCCCCAAACACCACTAGCAACTAGCCCAGTAACTACGTACCTAAGCGCAAAGCACGGTTCCCCAATTCGGGGCAACCCGCTTACTCATCCACCCAACCCTCTCTCCAAACCTTCGAAGCTCGCTCCATCTCAATTCCGCCTTTGCTAATCAACCACATCTGACAGGCCGCGAATTGCTTCAATCCAATTCTACCTACCCACCGCTGTCGCATGCCTCATGTCTCTCGGCAGACATGCCTACAGGCATGCATCATCATCGTCTAATAATCTCCTCGATCACGTCTGGATCAGCGAGGACTTCCTAGCTTCCGCGTTCCGACGCTTCGCTAACGGCCAACGACGCTACGAGAGCCGCGTCCCGGGGCCATTGGAGGCTCGACGACGACTCGCTAAGAGGAGGAATACTGCCCTCGCTGGGATTGCGGGGACGGGGCCGCTGGATGATATTGCTTGTTTGTTTGGGCGCAATGGGAGGGAACATATGAAATGGACGACCACGACGGAGGGGAGGAAGGCGAAGGGTAAGATATTGGATCTGTTGAAATACTATTGGTGGATGATGCTAATGGTGCTTGGTGTTGGTAGGTTCGCATTTTTATCAATTGAGTTCGCCGTCGCCGTCGCCGCCGCCGCCGCCGATTCCGTCCGCGTATAATGGGGATGGTGCTATTGAGGATGAGTTTGCGTTGGGGAGGCCGTCACCTGGGAGGCCGGATATGCCGCCGGATGGGCCTGATGAGGTGTCGCGCGATCAGTATTTGAGGAGGCGGTTGAGAGAATGTCGGACGGTCGAGGCTGTCAAGAGGGTTGTTCGGCAATTGGATGTTGATCTTTTGCGAGAGCCGGGGTATAGCCGTTTCATATTCGATCACTTGTTGTCGTGTTCCAGGAGGGGAGAGTTGGGTGTTGACGAGCTTGTATCGTTCCTGGACGACCCACAGCTTAATATTCGGGGAGCGAGGAATTATTTGACTGCGGTCGAGTATATCGCTTCGCGCGGGATCAGGCATGGGAAGTGGCATCCACTCTTCGACAATGTCGTTCAGGCTCTGGAGCTTGGGATTGTTCCGCCTGACGAGTTGTGCGCTATAATAGAGGCTATTGCGAAGGCAGCGCCGGCGAAGACTGAGAGAAAGAGGCAGTTCCCGGATACGGTCACGGCAATGTATCAGGCGATGTGGGATGCAATTGGACGATGCGATATCTACGGGCACAGTGATCTCGATGAGGGGATAGTTGATGCGTGGCTTGGTGCTCTATGGGAGAGGAACGTCTGCGACGATTTGCCCTTGGCTAAAAGCATACTCCTTGCTGCTCAGAGACTGGAGCCGGCATGTTGCTCGTGGGCTACTCTGTTCTTGACGCGTTGGCTGGAGCTTCCTAAGAAGCTGCGAGTTGGCGCTGGTGAAGTCTACGCGAGTGATATACTGAGCAGTTTCAAGCCTGATCTTGCAACAGCAGCTGTCATATCGACCACTGAATTCTTGGCGTCGAACAAGAAAGATCTACTCGGGCGGTGGCACAGCTGCTTATTGCAGACTAAAGATATCCCGCAACTTGTTTCGTCAAAAGCATGGCTTGATGTTCGATCGCGGGACGATATAACGGAGTCAAGTCTCTCGCTGCAACATCAGATCATCTTACGCATATGGGCTCTACGAACTCTCAGCAAAGGTCTTTCCGACGGGCCTCTATGGAGGAAGGATGTACGAGCCACAGATGTGCCTATAAGACGCCTCTTCGGCCTCTGCGAGTCCATCAACAAGAACGAAACCAGCGAAGACATGCTAAGCAGTCTAATGAAAGGCATCCATGATCTGGGGCTACCAGCAAACGGCCTCCTAATACTAGCTGTCGACATGAAAGCCCGCAACACCCTCACGAAATCGGCCCGTCGCACCCTGACCAACATGGAATCATCATCCAACATCTCCTTCGCCAACATCTTCGCCAACCTTGACGCCTACAACGCAAGCACCCCCCACTTCTTCGCCAAATTCGAACAAATGACCCGCCAAATCGACATCACCTCCCCCGACTTCATCTCCCACGGTCTCGACCTCGCCAGAACCGGCGACTCTCGCAGCGTGTGGACACTCATCCGCCTCCTCCGTTCCCACACCCCTCTTAAAATCGCCCTCTCCAAATCATGGATTCCTATCCCCGACCCCTCAGAAAAAGCTCTCGTGCGCTACTACCCCGAGCCCAGAACCAGCGACTGCCCGGACCCGCACGCAGCTCTCGAAATGATCCACCTTCTTGCCGTGTCACTCGCGTGCTCGAGGCGCCTGAGCCCACGCCGTTCTTACAGTCTCGTGCATTGGCTGTATGTCTTCCTGGTGAAGCATAATGCGCCTGTTAAGCCGGCGATTGCACGTGCTTTGTATCATGCTGGTGTTGAGCGCTTTCGGCGGGAGGGGTTGCGTGTTTCGCTCACGCAGTATGCGTATATCTATGACGTTGTGGAGGAGGTTGAAGGGTCTGATGTCGTTGAGAATCTTATGGAGCCGCCGAGGATTGGACATCGGTTTTCGGGGGGTGAAGAAGGGGAGGCTTGTTCTGAGTGATTGTGAATACGAAGAGCTGCTGTGGTTGGTGAGACGTGTTTTACTTTAGTTTGGCTTGATATCCGGACTGTATACTAGTAGTATAGATATAGTGTTCTTAAGGGAAATGTATGCCTCTTAGTGTATTTACTAGAGAGATATGGTCAGGGTTCTACGCAAGTATAAACCTTTTCGAATCGTCCTAAATTTCAACAATCATAATGGCAATTATTCATGCGTGGCCCATATTTAAGATAAAGCCAGCCCGACACAACCAGTAGTAAATAAGAACCTTTCTTTGCTCTAGTCGTTACAACAACAATAACAACACATCATTTAGACATCCACCTCCATCAAATTAGGATCACCAGACGCCTCCTCAACAGAGATATACTTCCGCATATCCTCCTTGCTGATGATCTTCTGGTTCAAATAAGCCGTAGTACCCTTGGGGAAGCGGTAATTGCGCTCCTTCTCGCCACGCTCATTAGGCCTGATGTAGTTCCGCAGCAACTGCGTAGGCTTGTCCTTCTCAATGACGCAAACATCGACATTGCTACCGGATCCCAGATCGTTGAAGATACCGGCCTTGATGGCCTCCGCGCACAGGGCGATCGCGCCCTCACGGTCCAGATTCGGCTTCCATGTCGACTCGAACACCGACATCGCGGCCAGAGAACCTGATCCCATGGTCACGTAGGGAAGCTTGTCGGTGGATCCGTGGGCGTGGACGGTGAAAAGACCAATGCCGGTGGGATCGACACCCGCCACAACCAGGTAGGCGCCGATGTGGCCTTGGTATCGGAATAGGTGCTGCTTCAGCATCGTCATGCAGGTGATTACGCGTGGGGGCCGGCCCGTCGAAAGTGCGTGCAGTTCGATGTTCGAGCTGATCAACGCCGTCGTGAACTCGGTGTCGGCGGCCGTTCCGGCTCCGGCGCACCAGATCTTGGGCGCGATGTAGTGTAGTTTCTCGCAGTTCTGGAGGTGTGGGGGGTAGTGTGTTAGTTGTTGAGTTGGGTTATTGGAGATAGGTGTGAATGTCCTGGGAAAAGCGGTGCTTACCTTGTCTGCTACTATCGGGCCGCTGGTGGCTCTGGTATCTGCTGCAATCTGTGGTTATGCCAGATGTGGTGAGTTCGTGATCGTCGTCTTGGGTACTAGGGAGCTTGTTGGGTTGCTCCGGAGGTACCTACCACAACGCCATTGTCGTATATACATCCCACGATGGTGGTACCGGTGCTGGTGGCTTTGGGAAGAGGGACTCCCTTCGCGTGGAGAGCCGCGTTACGGTTGTAGTTGGAGAAATCGAAGCCTGTCATGGTGACGGCGTGGAAAGGTGATGTATTGTGAGGGGGCAGGAAACCAGTGTGAGCTGGGAGAATTGAAACTCAGTTGGAATGAGGAGGAGCTGAAGCTTGAGGAGGGAAGATGAAATGCCGAAAACAGATGACGGGGGAAGAGCAGGAAGCTATAGCAGGATGGAGAGAGATGGCGGAGGAGCTGCGAGTTGATGGAGTGACGAAGCTCCGGGCGCCTGATCGCGGCGGCCTCAGGCCTGTCACGGATTAGCTAATGGGCGAGCAATTCCGCTGTTTTTGTCCGGCTGGGAATCTGGCGCCGAACTCCATCTCCATTCTTGTTGCTCCTGCATTATCGGCAGTCATTGACTGTGCTGTTGTTTCTCTTTTCCTTAGGGTCGTTGTGAACTCCGTCTTCTTCATCTCACTTCCTTCCCTCGAGGGGAGGTGGTCAAGATTTTTGCGCGCACCTGGAAGCTCTTCAATCGGAGTCCTCAAGCACTCCAGCGTCGCTCCTTTTCGTCTTCGCCGCAAAGTCCACCTTCTCCCCATGCTCCAAAGACTCGGTTATCTCTAGGCGACCGTCCTCGTTCAATTTCGGCCGATTTTGATAGACTCAGAATGGCTTTCAGCTTTGGAGCCTCCAACCCCGCCGGGGATACTGCTGAACTGGGCCCCGAGCTTCCTGATGTTTTTGCAGAGGTATGTCGCAATGCCGTTGGGGTTGCGAATCGATTTTGAGCTGACATGGTGACCAATCGAATTAGGAAGTCGGGTTCAAAGGCGTGTCCAGCGATAGCAACGTTCGATTACTCAATACTCCTTGGCCCGAAGATTCCCTCCCTAGCCCCACGAGCTCCCTTCTCGCTGTCGCAGCGACAAAAGGCGTTGTTGTTGGTGCTGGGCCAGACGCCCTCTATATCGCCTCCTCCAACGAAATAAGAACCGCTATATCCGCATCCACAGGAGATGAGAAGGTCAAGACCAAGCCCTTCCAGCCGCGCGCCACGATTCCTCTCCCCGCCCGACCTACGCATATCACTTTCGCCTCAGGCGATAGCGCCCTAGTATTGGCGACAGAGAATGGTACACAGCTTTCGGTGTTTGAGACGGCAAGTCTCTTACAAGGGAACGCGCAACCGGCTTTGTCTATCCCGACGAATGGAGCTACCTTCCGCTTCCTTGCCCCCAATCCCGCGCAGTCGGAAGACTCGCACTCATCCCTTGTTGCGCTTGTCACCACGGGGGGAGACCTCCTTATAGCCGATCTGAAAGCTGGAAACCTGCTCTCGGGCCCCAATGGCCAGGTCCTGAAGTCGGGAGTTAGCACGGTTTGCTGGAGTAACAAGGGCAAGCAGCTCGTGGCAGGGCTTGCGGATGGCACTGGATTCCAAATGGCCCCAGATGGTGCCCAGAAGGGTATTATTCCGCGCCCTCCTGACCTGGAGGATAACCATCACGGTGCGTTCTGCGTCTAATGTCTCTACTACTCCCCAATATTCTAACCCGTGCAGTGTCCTCTATCGCCTGGCTTGAGAATGACATCTTCTTGATGGTCTACACATCGAATGCTGTGGAGGATGATATGGGCCAGACACCATCTTCGCCTTATTATATTATCACCAGGAGGAAGAATGCGCCTTTCTTGATCCAGAAATTGCCCGAATTGTGCATGCCCTTTGGCTTCAAGCGCGCCCCTGCCTACCAGTTCATCGCGCGTCTTCGAGAATACAAACCGCATTTGAAGGATGTCCTTGTTGTATCCTCCACCGCTTCGACCGACGTATGCTTGATCACGAGAGCGGATCAACCGCTGGCTAGTGATGATGCCGCTAAGGCCACCACAGGGCTCTTTGTTACGACCGAAGTGAACGACGACACCAAGAGAGCTTCCCTCCCACTCAAGGACTCTACAGAAGAAACCTCTGTGATCGGTTTAGGCTTTGACCTATCGAGCACTGAGAATGTTGTGGCCCCGATCGCTGGCGAGGATATCGCTGAGAGTTCTACGCCGCTACCAAATTTGCTACTTCTCAATAATGAGGGTATCCTGTGTTCTTGGTGGTTCGTCTACAACGACTCAGTCCGCCAGAAAATCCCTTACCACGGTCTGGCGTCAGAGGCTCAACAGCAGCAGCCGGCACCGCCAGCACAGTCAGCACAACCTCAGCCCCCTACGCAGCCTGCGTTTGGACAATCAGGTTTCGGCAGCCCATCTCCCCTAGGATCATCCCCCTTTGGCAAACCATCAGCTGCACCGGCCTTTGGCAGTACATCCACCTTGGGTGCCAGCCAGCAGGCGACCTTCGGAAAGACATCGTTTGGTGCACCTTCGTTTGGCACCCTATCACAACCGGGGGCCTCGTTTGGCGCTCCTAGTGCACTGGGAACTGCAACACCCCAGTTCGGTCAATCCGGCTTCGGGGCACTGGGCGGCGGGTCGGGCTTTGGACAGCCATCAACACCGGGCAAGAGTCTCTTTGGAGCCTCGACTACTAGTACAGGAGGTGGATTTGGCTCGTTTGCAAATGCTGGAGGAGGATTTGCTGGCTTTGCGGCGCCAAAGACCACCACTGTATCACCCTTTGCGAAGATGTCAGGAGAGAGCTCGTTTGCGAAATCCTCTGTGCCATCACCGTTTGGTGCTAAGACCGATACTGACACTGCGTTCCCTCCAACCTCGAGCGAGACAAAGAGCGCTTTCGGACAAAGCTCTAGTGGCTTCGTGCTAGGATCTACATTCAAGGGCGACGGTACTGCGGCTAACGATGGCCCTAAGCCAGACAAACCATCAGGACTATTCTCGTTCGGCGAATCCATGGATGATATGGTATCCAGCAGCAACAAGACCAGTCCACCAACCGAGTCAATGGATGATATGGACGACGAACCTGCGCCTTCGCAGAAGCCTGAGTCTAAAGAGCCTGAATCAAAGGCACCAGCACCATCTATCTTCGGAGCGCCCTCCAAGACCGAGACCGCTGCACCGACCTCCCTTTTCGGCTCCAAGCCGCAGCCTCCTAATCCATTTGGTCAACAGCCGGCCAATCCTTTCGGCCAGACCCAGGCTGCTACCAAGTCTCCATTCTCGTTGTTCGGCAGTGCTTCACCCGCTAAGCCAACATCAAGCCCGCTGTCTCCCTCCTTGGAGAAGACTACAGCTGCCACACCACCCTCGACCAAGACGCCTTCTGAAGACGCCCATCGCACTCCCCTTGCTTCCAGTATCCAAACCCCTCTCCCCCCTGACCCCACCAGCAAGGCTTCGTACGGACCGGGTGATACTTCGGCCTCGTCAAATGTATCTAAGAGTTCCGTTGATGACGCCCCTCTTCCTCCCGACTTCACTGTCAAGGCGAAACCTGCCCCGGCAGATGTCGGAGGAGAGCCACCTTTACCCCCGGATTTCGCGAAGAAACTTCCTGAAGAGGAAAACGAGGAAGAAGAAGTGGACGAGGCTGAAGCTGAAGAGGCGCCGTTGCCTCCAGATCCAGCTACGTGGAAGCCACCGGCATCCCAGGAAGAGCCTGGCCCAGTACCTGACGAATCCGATGCCGATGAGTCTGGCAGAGAGGAAAGTGGGGAAGGCGAGGAAGACGTGGAAGAGGAAGAAGAAGAAGAAGAAGAAGAAGAAGAGGAGGGCGATGAATCCGATTTTGGAGATAGCGGTGAAGAAGTCTCCCGAGACATCAGCGAACCAGAGTCGGCGGAGGCAAGTCCAGAGGCCACTCCTGACGGTGCTTTCAAATTCGGGGCTAAGGGCGGCTTGTTCTCACAAGCTGCTAAACCTGCACCCGCTCAACCCCCGGCCCAGCGATCTCTGTTCGGAGAAATTGGAAAGTTCCCGACATTCCAGACTCGGGAGCCTCCAAGGTCGCCCAGTCCGGTACGGAGCGGCCTTCAGAAAAACCGGTTCAAGATCGGGGGCCAGAAGCCCAGTGCTGCACAGGTGCCAGGAAGCACTCTTGCTGCACGCAAGGCTTCCCTCACCGAGGCCGTCAAACGTGAGAATCTCCTAAAACCGCAAGTTTCTCAGAAGGAGAAGTCTCCGGTGGACCTCAAAGCCAAGCAGATGGAAGAAGAAGCTCAGGCTCTTTCGGACGATGATGAGGACGAGAGGCTTCGCGCAGATCTTGCCCAGCCTCTGGAACCTGTTCCAACTCTGGATCCTTTCCTGCCCCACCAGGATTATGCGGGAGAGACCAGCAAGCCCGGTATTCCTGGTCAGATCGAGCGACTTTATCGGGACATCAACTCTATGGTGGACACACTGGGCATCAATGCTCGATCACTGGCCTCGTTTGTTTTGTATCAAAAGCAACCGCAAAGTGCTGATTGGGTCGAGCTGTTGAACAAGGAACACCCAGCTGCTATCCTTGACGAGAAGCTACTGCTACACGATATCGAGAAACTGGACGATGCTGTTGTCATGCTTGCCGGCTCTCTCGAACAGCAGCGGGTGCAAGGGGTCGAGGACAAGCTGAAGGCCTGCCAAGAGCTCCTGAGCAAGGATATTCTGACGCTTCGGGGCCAGTGCGCTAGCATCCGTAAGACTCTGGATGCCCACACGGATGCAGCAGCTATTGTCTCTGCGCCTCTTTCCGCAGAACAGGCGAACCTGCAACAAGATCTCCGCACTGCCTCGACTGATATTCAGGCCAAGCTGGCGGATCTCGAGTCGGCAGTGTCCCTCCTTCGCGCCAAGATAGCCGATGCCCCTCGTCCCGATGGCACTGGTTCCCGGCAAGCCATGAGGCGACCGACCGTGGAAGCCGTCACGTCTACGATTGCTACGATGACGAACATGGCCGAAAGCAAGCGCAGCGATATTGACGTCCTGGAAATGCAGCTGAAGAAACTTGGCATCGACACCTCGGCCCCGGCAGCCGCCAGCCGGGAGGGCTCCCCCTTCACGACCCCGCGAAAGGGCATGGGGCGGTTCCCAACCACCCCTGGATCTGACGGACCCAACAGCGCATACCATACACCGGACTCTGCTACGCGAGGCTTCCGATCGAGCATCAACGGATCAGCGCGGGCCAGTCGGCTTCGCAATGTGGAAGGAGTAGGAGAGCTCGTCACCCGGGAGGAGAGTACGCAGTGGAAGACGAAGCGGCAACGCCGGCAGCATATTGTGGGCAGTCTGAAGAAGGCAATTGGAGAGAAAAAGTCCAAGGTGCGCGGAGTGGATGATCTGTAGGATTAACTGTTTCTTGTTACTATTCTGCTTTTTCCTTGACTATGACTTCTTCAACCATGAAAAAACAGCGGGTCCGGCCATTGGATGTTGGTAGCGTTATTATGTACATAGATCCGATTCATCCTTAACTAATGAGTGATGTTCACTGCCAGTGCATACGAGCACATATTATGTCGTATATTGTGCCTAAGGCATCAATCAACCACTGACATCATGCGGCAGTGACATCAACCGATCTCCTCTTTCTTTGTTTCTCTCTTATCGATCCAAACTTTCTTTCCCTTAAGCTTTGCCTACTGCTTACTATAAACCCCCTCCTCATCTCCAGCACCACAAGCTCCTAAATACTCCCTCTATCATACCCTCTACAACAACTAAGAATCACTCAGTAGTACCAAGACTAAATAAACCGACGAGAAAAATGCCCGGCGTCACCGAATTCATCTTCTTCCACCTCAACCCCGCCGTCAAACCCGAAGACCCCACCAACAACGAAGCTGGCGCCTCTCTCCTACAGCTCTTCAAGAACACCAAACACCAAAACGGATACCTGGGGTCCTCTTGGGGCCGCTCAACCGAAGATGAGAATGTGATTGTTTGGGTGATTGGTGCGTTCCCTTTTCCCATCCCACAGCTTCCCCTCTCCCTTCCCTCTAGTTTATCTATCTACCTACCTACATACATACATACACCCCACACCCAACACACCCTAATCTAATATACACATATAGACTGGAAAGACGCCCAAACCGCCCCCACCCTCATTCCCTCGCTAACACCGTACCTTGCGCCCTCCACTCCCCTAACAACCTTCTACGCGACTCTCTCCCCTGCCCCTCCCCCGCACCAAACCCACGATCTGTCCTCCTCGCCCGTAACCGAGATCTTCACGCCGTGGTTCCCAACCTCCATGTCCGCGGAAGAGAAGAAGAACTTGCACGAGAGTCTCGTAGCGTTCCGGACGGAGCTGGTGGAGAATCTCGAGGAAGGGAAACGGCCTCAGAGGCTTATCATGGGGCAGGTGGAACGGCCCGGGACGCGGAAGCACGGGGATAGTCCGAGCGGGGAGGCGTTTGGGATGGTGGTGTTGGCGGGGTGGGAGAGCGTGGAGGCGCATATGGATATTAAGGGGACGGAGGCGTTTGGAAGGGGGATTGCGCCGATTAGGGGGTGGATGTTGAAGGGAGATGGAGGGGATGTGGAGAAGGGGGAGGGAGGGTTTGGTATAATGAGGCATGTGAAGTTTCAGAGAGTGGAGTGAATTGATGTCAATGGATAGTATGCTTTGTGTATGTGTAGTGTGAGGAATATGACGTGTAGGATGGTAGGATAGGGAAGGGTTATGGGAAAGGTATTATTAATTAAACAGCGCTTTTCCAAATAAATACAGTACACACAAAAGAAATTGAGGAAAACAAAACGCGCAGACCCCGAAAGAAAGATATAGACGGAACCCAAACCAAACTATCAGAGCCACCGGAATATAACGGATGACTTTTGGAGTAGTCGCAAAGCAGAAAGACAGCAAACCGATTCATCGGCGGGAACAGAAACAGGATGAATTCACTTAGCCTAGATCCGATGCTTCTCGCTTTCTGCAGGATGTTAGAAGGGGTCATTTCACATAGTTTGGGAAGGATACTAACCAAGTCTCGAGTAGAGCATGTAGAGCGCCATCTGGTTGCACTCCTGGGTACCGGTGATCGTGACCAGACGCTCGTTGCTGTTCTCCTGGGGCTCGTTGATCTTGATGACACTGCCACTCAGGTGACGGATCTCGTTGATCTTGGCTCCTCCCTTTCAATGATGGCGCCAACCATGTCGTTGGGGATGTAGATCTGCTGGGTCAGTGGCTGGCCGGGCATGACACCGCCGACGGGAGCGGCAGGCGTCGGCCCACCACGAGCCTGTGCGGCGGCCGCCTGAGGCGCACCGTAGGGCGCGGGCTGGTGCGGGCCAGCGCCAGCATACGGGGTGTGGGGAGTAGCACCGTAGGGCATCGAGGGCTGGGCTACAGGAGTTTGCGCTGCCGGGCCCTGGAGGTAAGGAACGCCATAGCCGCCAGCTGCGCCGCGGTTGGGGTGAGGGTGGTGACGCTTGAAGGTGTCGGGATGGCCGTACTGCCCACCAGCGGGCTGAGGCACGTACGGCACAACCTGCATGCCGCCAGGCACAGCGCCAGCAGGACCGCCGCTGCGGGTGGCATAGGCCGAGGCAGCGGGGCCGCCGAAGCGTTCTGTCAGCTGCTCGACGAGAGTCACGGCAACGTAGTAGGTAGCGATGTGCACTGCGTCAGCAACACCGAGAATAACAAGGGACCGTTCAGTAGACAGGGGAAGGCAAGCATCAGAAGCGTTGAGACGTGCACCAGAGGCGTCCTGGATCTCTCGAATACGGCTCCCACCCTTGCCAATGATCGAGCCAATGAGAATATGGGGAATCAACAAACGCAAGGGGTATGTCTTGGATTGGGCAGTAGAAGGGGCATCAAGGGGCTCATTGTTCAAGGTACGAATAATAAGACCGAAGGCCTAGCATCCGGGTTAGCAAAGACAGTAGAAAAATCGAACCATATCGTGTTCAAACTCACCTTCGCAGCAGCATCCTGGGGGCCGCTAACGGTCAAGATACGCTCGACGGCACCACGGGAATAGTCGCTGACGGTGCACTTGGCGCCGGACAGACGACGGATCTGGGATACGTTCTCCCCACCTTTACCGATGACGGTGGCAGCCTCCTGGCTGGAGATTACAGCCCGAATGTGAATCCAGCTAGACTCATCCTGGGGACGGTGTTGCTCGGATTGGGCACCGGTCGACTCGGCGTGAGAGGCCGTCGACTGAATGGGTTGTGTCTCCTGAGCGCCCTTGGAGTTAGGAGCATCGGGGACCACAGTGTCGCCCTGGCCATCAGCAGTCGCAGCCGGCGCATCCGTTTTCACATCGGCATACGCCTCGGACTCATCGCCCTTTACTACTTTGTCCAACGCAGGACGCTTGGCTTCCGGCTGATCATTAGGACCGGAGGGAGAGGAAGGGTCCTCCAACGGACGCTTGGTCGATTGCAACGCAGACGGAGAGGCAGACATGATGGTTTGTGTGCCTAAACTGTGCGGACTTTCTGTGCTTGCTTGCTTCACTTACGCAGGACGTGTCCAAGTGTGTTTTCACTTTTCAGAACAGCTCTTCTTTTCTTTTCACTGCAGCTTTATTTGATCGACTATGTACACCAGGAGTTCCCAATAAAACTTGCTGGTGCTGGCGATCGGATGGAGAGGGAATTCTGATGCTTGGAAGGATGTGGGAAGATTGGTGAACTCGTGCACAGTGCGGGAAGTGATGCTGTGAAAGGAGAGCCGACGAGGAAAGTGTGAAAAAGGTCTGGGATTGCCACGAGGCCTTGGAGGTTGAACTTGGAGCGGAAAGCTTCAGAGTGAAGCAGTGCAAGGTAGAGGGAAGAAGGAAAAAATGAAACCAATCGGGTCGGGCACGAGGGCAGGAGAGATTGGGTGCTGGACGGTGGACGAAGATGTGCTCAGGGTCCGAATGGGTTGGAAGGCGGAGGGAAGCGTGAAGGGAGAGGAGTAAAAAGAAAACGAGAAGTAAAACGAGGCCTTTTTAGCAGTATCCGACGCCCAAACTATCCTTTTTCTTGCCTTAAGAAGACGCGACGTGGGTCGAGAGACGTTCAGGACAGGCGGGTCTTCTACACGATCAGCCCAAGAACGCTGGAATAGCAGACGTGGGAGAGTCGAAAGGTCGATGAGACGACAGCGACAGGTTTAAAATAGAGGTGGCGAGTAAACACGCGATGATCAAAAGGGGGTTAAGAGGGGAGGTGGATGGGTGAACGAAGTCGAGCTTGTCGCGGTGAAGGACGAAGAGGGAGAAGCGACGTTAAGGTTGAGTTGAGGTTCAGTCGCGCATCCTCGCCCTCCCGCGCTATCCCCTTTCCGGAATCTCCCTCACGTGTTCCCGGCCTGCAAAACACCTGCCAGTCCCTCATTCGTCTATACATTTCACCTCGGTTAGTTGGCTCGAGAGACAACTGGATGCAAAGCGAAGACTAAAATTAGAGGCGCATTCATTGACCATTACCCAACGTCAATCGCAATGGACGTGTCGCAGGAAACCGTTGAAAAAGTCCAGCGTTTCGCGGAGAAGCGCCAACGCGCCGAGGACTTCTACGAAAACCAAGAAATCAGTCCAGCAATTCTACAGGCGTACAATAGAAGGCTGGACGAAACACTAAGAGAACTTCAAGATCAAGTCAAGCGTCAAGAAGATGATTTGCGCAGGGTATGTATCCACCCCAGGATAACCATACCCCGTATGCATCCAAAACATGCAATCCAACCCCTAACAAATCGCCCAGCTGCGCGAGGTCAACGCCTTCGATCTTTCCAAAATAGGCTCAGATACTTGGTCGCGTGTGGCCCAAGTACAAAGAGCCAAGAGAGCCTACGACTCGCTTTTAAAATCAGAAACCGAGTTTCCAGCCTCAGGCTCGCCCCTGCCTTCTCTCCTGGCAATCGAGGAGACATCGCGTCTAGTCAAAGAAACCAAGGTTTCTGTCTCCATGACGGCAGAGAATATCTCGTCCAATCGTCAGCGTCTGAAATTAGAGGAGGGGAATCTCCGTGACGCTCAAGTCATCCGGGATGGTCTTCGAAAGCGGATCCAGACCATAAGCAGCGAGAAGACGACCAAGGAGAAGAAGACTGCTTTCCAGCTAGCGCGTGAACTAGCGGAACAAGAAGAAGAAAAGCAGAAAGAGCTTGACAAAGCAGCAGAGGAGATGAAGACTACGCTCTACAACTTTGTGGACGAAACCCTTGCGCCCATGCTTGCTGCCGAAGCCCTCGGCGGCCCCACGGTGGGTGATGCCGCCCAGGTCTCTGATGCGACCTTGCAATTAGGCTATACGAGCCATGGAAAACCGAAGAAGCCTAGAAATCCAGAGGCAGCAAACCCGGATGCTGGACAGCGCCGGATCGATGAAATTCTTCCGCGCCAGTCTGGGCAAGGAGACAACCAACCAGCTAATCGCAGAGAGGCTGCGGCTTTGGAGATGCGCAATCTACTTGATGCCTTGTTGGAGGCAGGATCCTCCTATATCGATTTGCCTCGAGAATCGGCTGCCTCGCGGTTTTTGGTCAGGGCTAAAGTCGCCCAGTTCCATCCCCGTGATGCGCGACGCTTGAGGCTGATTGATTTTGGACGTTCATTAGACGATTGAACGACAGTACTATGACCTATCGTATGATACATGACATTCCAGGGTATAATGAAAAGAAAAAAAGGCTGTATATATTCTGTCACAAAAAGCCAAAGCGCCTAATACAGTCATCATGCCAGTAATTTATACCCCCATTAGCACAACGCCTATACATGCATTAAGCAATCAACGCCCATAAGTGCCACTGCATATACCGTAAAGTTCATCACAAAGCCGAATTATTCGGCACTTGAAAAGCCATTAGATGGGCATCATCCCTATTCGACTAGTTGAGGGTTTCGCTTTGGTCGTTTTCCGAGGGGCAGAGGAGCGATTGTCAGCACGATCACCAGATTTTCTGCGGGCTCCCGTCGATTTTGCCCTGGATCTAGGGGCAGCGTTTTGGCGGCGAGGGCGTTTGGTTGTTTGACGCTTCCGAGCCCGAGGTCTACTGGACTTTCCGGGGCCATCATCCTCGTCGTCGGAGTCGAGGCCAGCAGTGTTCTGGGTAGAGAAATAACGACTTGACAGGGTCTCATCCACATTAAATGTAGACGGATGATCCGTAAAGATTCCGCCATCGCTGAACTCATCCTCAGTGCTGGTAAGGTTAATAACATTGTGATGGTTGGGGTCCGGAACCACCCCATCAGCATCATCTTGCTCTTTCTTCAACTCTGCATAACGGCGCTGCGTGTCGCGCACAAGCTTCAGAATTTGGCCTCCGTATCGGTTCACCTTGTCCGGGTCAATACCAGGGATTGTGGCAAGTTCCGCCATATCTGGACATAAGTCAGTTCTGCTCATAGCTATCATAAGAGGGTTCTCACCTTTGGGGAAGACGATGACCATCTCGCGCAGGACGCTGTCAGTAAATGGTTGGTTGCGAAGGCCTTTCTGCATGACCAGCTGCTCGGCTGTTAGCACGTTGTCAAGTGCCCTCGGATGAACGATCACTTACATCCTGACAATAGTTCTTGGCATAGACCATAAAATCCTCCGCAACCGCTTTATGGAGAGGGTCCAACTGCTCAAATCGACGGTCTTGGGTGATTGGCGGCCCGGGAGTGCGACGCCTCTCCTGTGCTGGTTTGCCGGCGATTCGTACTCTTTCGAACCCATCACTGTCGGCATCATCGTCCGTGGTGTCGCCTGCGCCCCCTTGGTACCGGAAGCGAGATAGACGGCGTTGGTTTGCCGCTTGTACAGGTGACGAGACATTTGTGGATTGCGGTTGATACTCTTTGTTGCCGCCATCAGTTCGTGATCCCGAATTGGACTTCCTGGCCTTTCCATTCGGCGAGACTCGCACGTCAAGCTTTAGTTTGCACCGCCCACTCTCGAAATCAGCGGCACGGCGTCCCACTTTGATATATTGAATGGCAAATTTACTTCCATTGACGACATTCTCTTCAACAAGAGCCCCCTCGCCTAGAAGTCTGTGGAATAGTCGTTCTGCTTCGCCTAGTTCTAGGCCCGAACCGTCACCATAGCCAGGTGCCTGTCGATGTTGTGGAGACCTGAACCTCTTCACACTTCCCCGGAAGATGTTCACACAGTATGACAGAGTAACCTTATCTTCGATGCTTTGGAAGTAGCGGACAACTTTAATAGCAGAGACAGCATAGTGGGAAAAGTCGTGTAGCTCGAAGACAGAGTCGGACTTGCAGTTGTCACATGAGGCATTGCAGTCTTGCCGGCGGAAGTATTCATTAAAGTAGGCAAAAATTTGTACTCGCCTACAATCGCTCCTGTTTTCACAGTATTGTACCACGTTGTGGAGCATCTGCCGTTGCCGATTCTTCTGTTGCTTGCTGCCCTCGCCCTTGTCGATCATGCTAGATATAGTGCTCGTATCCTTGTAGCAATAATAGAGGTAGCAGCCAGACCGCTTGCCATCTCGGCCTGCCCGTCCCGTCTCCTGATAATATCCCTCCAGACTCTTGGGAATGCTGTGATGGATCACAAAACGCACATCAGGTTTGTCGATACCCATTCCGAAAGCGATTGTCGCCACTATAACGTGAGTTCTTCCAGCTTGCCAGTCCTGTTGTATTTTCGCACGCTCTGCCGAATCCATGCCGGCGTGGTAGTGTTCCGCTTTGATGCGATAGTCATCCCGGAGACCGCTCGCGACCTTTTCACATGTCTTGCGCGACAAACAATAGACTATGCCTGATTTGTTTGCGTAGGAGGTCTTGATAGTATCGGCTATGCTGGCCAGAAGCTCCGTTCCCTTCTTTTTGATCCGTACCTCGTACGTCAAGTTTGGCCTGTTAAAACTCTGAGAGAACACTTCACAGCCTTCCATTCTTAGGTTGTGAATAACATCCACCTTGACATTCTCGGTGGCTGTCGCAGTTAGCGCCATCATTGGCACTCCAGGTAACTGATTCCTAAGTTCTCCCAGCTCTTTATAATCAGGACGAAAATCATGCCCCCACTGACTAACACAATGCGCCTCATCGATCACGATACGTGCAAGCTTCCGACTGCGATTGAGCTTCTCCAAGCTTTTGGTAATGGCCTGACTTTTGTTGACCATTTCCGGGGTGATGTATAATAGTTCGATGTCTTCCTCCGCCATGGAGCCCGACAGCGTGCTGAGGATCCATTGCCGTTGCTCTTTCGGAGTCTCTCCGTTCAACAGGTAAGCCTTGATATTCAAGCGATTCAGATGCGACACCTGGTCCTGCATCAGGCTGAGCAAGGGGGAAATCACGATCGTGACTCCTCTTGTGGAGCCTGAAGTGACAACAGAGGGCAGCTGATAGCATAGAGACTTGCCTCCTCCGGTGGGCATCAAAACGAAAGTATCTTTCCCACTCAGCGTCGCATCTATAGCCTCGAGTTGATTCAGACGGAACCCACGAAGATGGAACCGGTCTTTCAGAGCATTTCTGACGTCCTTAGACCATGGATGTTGGTTCCACAGAGCGTTATGGCCCTGAGATTTCGGTTGCGACAGAGGAGTGCGCGAAGCATTTCCGGAAGTTTCAGCAAAGACCTTGCGGTTATGAAACCCGTGGTTGTCGGTTGCGAGTGAATAGCCTTCGTCAAGGAATCCAGCAGCTTCTAGCATGTCTTCGTCATCGAGGTCGAACTCATCCGCGTCTACTGCAGGACGCGTGGGTGAGCCCATAGTTCGAGTAAAAGCGTCATCATCGTCCAGCGTCGTCGGGTCATCATAGTTGAACGCTCTAATGCTCGAGGTCCCGTTCGTGTTCTTGAAGGACAGGTCTGACACTCGAGTGGATATCTCGGAACGAGAGTTGCTGTAGTCTACTGTTGACGGTGCATGTGATCGCGAGGACACGCCCGAAATTGTTGTGTCATCCAATGCACTAATCAAAACAGGCGAGGGGCGCGATAACGTGGTCGGATGGTCTGCCTTGTAACGCAGCGGGCGGACATCCAATAAAGGAATAGACAGCAATTTAGATCGAGCTAGCAGATGTTGTATATCTGATTCAACCTTTTGCAGCTGAGTCGTTGCTTCTCGACTTTCCACAAGCTCTGGCATTTCGGACGGATCGCCGCCCTGTGTTATAACCTGCATGAGTCTTTTCTTGAGCTTGTTCCTTTTCAAGTCATACGACTGATATGTGACCCTTTGCTGCTTGAGCAAATTAATCGCTTCGATCCTATCGGTCAGGGTCTTGTTTTCAGCGATCAAGTCAGGAGCAAGCTCTCCCCTCATTGCTCGCTCATACACTATCTCAGAGTTCTTCGTGAGAGTGCTCTTCAGGGTTGCAATTGCTCCTTCAAGCGAGTCAGCTGAGAGACTCAGGAACATGGCCACATCTTCGTTCTGAGGCTGAGAGCTAGGCGAATCCGTAGTAGCAGGCACATGAGTGATGGGTTTAGGGCTGATGTGGGTGTCTTTCCTGGGTGGAAGGATACTGGAGGGGACGACATCCATAGCATCAGGTGCCCATGGAGAAGCACGGGTCTTCTTTCTCGCAGGGCTAGGAGGTGCATGTTCATCTGAGCTATCTTGATTGGGCAAAATTGGATAGAGTGATTCATTGGAATTCAAGGTTGGGCCGTCTCCATCGGGAACCCAGTCATCAAACAGATTCTCATCACCGTCGTCATCGTCAGAATCAGCGATAACATGACCCACGCGAGAACTCTGTGAAAGCGAAGGAAGGCCCGAAGGACCATCAGCCCGAGTTAAAATGTCCTTCCTGGTCGTGCGAGGCGATTTTCCGGGCTGAAGACGCGTCGAGGTAGAACGGGGAGTTTTCGCAGACTCAACAGCCTTCAATGGCGAGCGTGTTTTCGAACCGTTCTTTCGGGGCGAAACAAGGTCTGACACATAATCGTCGCTCTTCCGCTTCTTCCCACGCTTTTCAAGAGGCTCTCTCCGGGATGCAGCGTCTTCGGTCCACAATCGTTGCGGCTCCTCGAACCCATCGAATGTATCAGACGAAAGCGTTGTCTGATTCAAGTCGCCAGTCAAGTCAATTGTATCAATGTCGGAATCAAATAGTGGTGAGTTTGTATTCAAAGGCTGCTTCGATCCGAACGGTGTCAAGGACGTTTTAGGGCTGCGCAATGGAGACCGGGGACTTTGCAGGTCTAATTGGAATAACTCGTTAGAGGATCCCCGAAAATGATAAGCACGCTGATTCACCGTACCTTTGATAACCCTGTCTGGACCATTTTCTCTTCCCTTAAAAGGCGACTTCACGGACTGGCTACTTTTCAGAGGTTTGGGAGTGGGTGCGCCAGCGTCCTTTGACAGACTGAGCATCCGCGGCTTGCGTGCGGAAGCCGGAGTAAGAAGCAATCGCGCCATCTACTGTGTCCGAATCTACCTCCGCTTTTTCGTCCACATGGTCCGTATCTGCTGGTTTGACTTCCGGCTGTAAATCATCGGTCGGGAAAGGGATATCCTCTGGCTGGTGCGCTAAGGTCCCCGCTGGTGGCACCGGCGCAGTAGGTTGATTTCGGTCGGCAGTGTTATTGTGAGACTCGTGCGCGGACGGAGATAAGGAGGGGTACAGCGAAGGGCCCTGCTGCAACAGCCATTTGAGATGGGCTGCTAAATTGTTTTTAGTCATAGGGCCGTATGCTTGTGAGCATGGTTTTCATTGACGAGTCGCAACATAACAATCACAAAGGGCGTTTAGACTAGCTGCCGAGCAACTACTAGTCTATTCAATTGCTTTCAGTCCGGCGGATCCACGGCGTTGTCTGGACGCGTTCCGGCGCGTCATCACGTGGGCGGTGAGACATCGATAATCCATGCCACTCCCAGTTATGATACTCGGTATTACTTACCCTCTTTGAAGATAAGAAGCATCGTTGGTGTCAAGGTAATGGCATGTTAGGGGATGCCTCTTAGAACTGTTGCAATCGTGCAGTAAATGCATGAGTCCTTGCGAGCTATCGTGCAGCATTGTTCCCTTTCAGTCGAAATAATGACACTTGATAATTTTCCATGACAACATATTTCAATACAGAACATGGAAGCATCAACTAACATACAATACTATTGAATATGAGCCAGTCAGCAACCGGTGATACTAGAGGCGATAATCCCGGTTCAATAAGCATGCATTACATACAATATATGTCTATGTATGCTTTATTCGGTCTCGTGTGCTCTCCTTTTAACGTGCGAGCCTGGCCACTCATTGACAATGGTAATGGTTTTACACGGTAAAATAAGAGGGGCTTCATGGCCGACAATTTTTACTGGGCCCAGAAAAAACCCCGCGCTGGATGGAGAGAATCTGTAGTAAATAAGATATCAACTCCATAACTCCACCGATAAGAGGGTGATAATTGAGGAGAACAATCAAACTCCACCTCATCTCCTCAAAGTCATAGAAACCACAGAAGAGTCTAAAGGTTCACCCCGTATCCCTCAAGCTCGTCAACCATGGGCAAGAAGAACAAGAAGTCCGCCGAGCACAAGGAGCGTGTAGCAGCGAAACAGAATAAGAAGGCTGCTCAAAAGGAGAAGAAGGGCAAGGGCAAGGGCAAGGACGCCGACAGTGATGTCGAGGATGCTGATTTGGACGCCATCCTTGCGCAGTATGCTGAGGAACAAGCGAAGTTCATGAAGGTCACTGAGGTAGTGGGAGGGCCGCCGACACCACGGTCGTCTGCAACTGTTCTGGCTTCTCCTTCCAATCGCAACGAATTGTTGGTATTTGGTGGAGAATACTTTGATGGAAATCTTGCTACCTTTTTCAACAACCTCTTCGTTTACAATATCGATCGTGCGGAGTGGAAAGAAGTCACCAGTCCTAATAGTCCGCTCCCTCGCAGTGGACATGCTTGGTGCCGTGGTGGCAATACGGGAGGTGTCTATCTGTTCGGTGGTAAGTATATGGCTCAGAAGCAGCATATCAAGTCTTTAGAGTACTGATGTCTGCAATAGGAGAGTTCTCTTCGCCCAAGCAGGGTACCTTCTATCACTACAACGACTTCTGGCACCTTGATCCCTCTACAAGGGAATGGACCCGTCTGGACTCGAAGGGCAAGGGTCCTCCAGCCAGAAGTGGTCACAGAATGACTTACTACAAGGTCAGTACCTATTCATGCCGGAAAATCTAAATGGAAACTAATCAAAAGACAGAACTACATTATCCTCTTTGGAGGTTTCCAGGACACCTCCCAACAAACCAAGTATCTCCAAGACTTGTGGATCTACGACTGTTCCAAGTACACATGGTTCAACCCCACGCTTTCAACCGCATCCCAGAAGCCCGATCCTCGGTCTTCTTTCTCCTTCTTGCCGCACGAAAGCGGTGCCG